CGTTATTTGACAAGGGAGATTGTATGGTACTACTAAGGCAAAATTTTATAGTAGTTTACATCAGGCAGTGTATCTCTTCACTATTTTATGTAATACATACTAGAATATCGCGAATTTTCTCCAGCTCTTCGAAGAAGGTATTTCTAAAATTGCTAACCGTTGTTCGTCTTTTTAACGTCTTACGAGCAATTTTTTATATACGTCCCTGAGTATATGAGAAAAACCAATAGGAGAAATTCTACAGAACTTCTCTTCTTATGATGGCTCTCCGAATGCGTTCACACTTCTACGCACTCGCAATGACGGCATCCCCGACTTTTTCTGCCACCAGGGCGGCGCCACTAGAAAGTGAGGTATAATATCTGACAGATTTCATAGCGGGGAAGTTAATTTGTTCGGAAAATGTAAAAGTTACTGTTTCTTTTTGTACTATTAGCTATATTTTATATTAACAACATTAAATATAAATAAACCAAACCACAGATATTCATAGAAGTGGAAAAATTAAAAAAAAGTTAATAATGTGCAAAAAATTACAGAGCAAACCACTGCCGCATTGTTTTGTGTATTAATAAAATACTCTAGAAACTGATAAACTTTTATTAAAAAAACAACTTTTCAATTAAATGACATTGTGTAACAAAAAACTTTACCTCAGTTTCTACTAGCGACATCTGGTAAGCAGAAAATTATTAGCCCTCATTGCACAGCGTATGTTACTAAGGATACCTACTAGGATATTTCAAATGCCGCCTTATGCTCGTTTGCGGAATTCTTATTTAATTTTACAGACCAGGTTTTCTCGCATGGTTTCCTTGACTACCGAATATGTGGTAAATGAGCACTTAATATTTTCTTTTGTGCAATCGGGCATAGAAGCTTCAGTTATTTTAATTAACGGTGAGCGTTTAGCATTTGAGCCAGCCAGGCTCTAGATTCTATAAACCTATGATATATTCGAATACCGGCTTCGCACGGGTGATTTCTGTACATACACAAATTTTTTTATCAAAATCGGTCGAGCCGTTTTTTGAGTTTTGGCGAGACTAACAGACAGCTATTGATATTTATATATAGAAATTAACTGACAAACTGGTTTCATACTATATCGAATTACAAGCTGTAAGGCGTTCATCTTACAATATAGAGCATAAAAAATATTAGTCAGTATAATTATTATGTAGGTATAGTTTAAACTATTGCTGTTAAAATAATTTATTAAATTTTCAGGCTAATTTCTTCAGTGATTTCAACCAACAAACCCAACATGACCGTAAAGGATATCTTCAAAGGACTTTACATTCATACGATAAATCAAGATCGCGAGCGTTTAATCAACCAACATCTCCAAGCGTACAAGGAGCAGCTTTAAATGAAGCAGCATTATTAAAAGAAATAAGCAAAAAATATATACTAATTCCGAGATATACAAATATGATAGAATACGATTACAATTTTTCTATGAAATCTGATATTGTTGATAACAACGATTGGAAAAGTAAATACAATATTCTTGAGGAATTAAAGAAAAACGAGAAAGAGGAAGAGCCGACAACTGAAGCAATTGTAGATAATGAATTTACCTCCAGTATTAAAAACAAATTAGAATCGAAAGAAAAAATAAAAGAGGTAAAAATTAATGAAGATGGTTGTAAAAACGATTTTAAAAACAATGTAAACATCGAAAATAATTTTTCCACAACACAAACGCAAATGGCAAAAGAATATTCTAATAATATTGGAGAATTTCAAGCAGAGTCTCCGATAGAAGAAAATACAGACATAAGTAAAGTTTTAAGGAATGAGAATTGTAATGCAATGGATAGTCATGTTGCTGCGGTAGCATTAACTGAAAAGGAAAAAATACAAAACGATTATGAAATACTATTAAAACCGAAAGAGGAAGACGGCTCTACTAAAGAATTTCAATATAATAATCAAAAACAAAACATCAGTATTGATAATCAAGTAGCTACGCAGGCATTATCTAAAACTGAGATACCTCATCAATATGAAACAAATGTAATGAATGAACAAAATATTGAAAAACAAAATATATTCAATAGGAGTGAAAATAGTGATACGATTGCAAGAGAATCAAGTAACACATACAACGCACTAAATGAACCACCATCAGAAATAAATCTGGAGCAAACGAAAATTACGGATAATACTTCTATAAACAATCATAACGAACTTCTATTAAATGAAGAAGTTTTACAAGAGGCTTCAAGTTTAAAGGAAGGAAGTTATGATGTAGGTCAAGATAGAAATAATCAAAATGATACTAAGGCATCAACTGATATTGAATTTATTGAGCCTATTGATTTAATTCAACAATACGAACAACCAGAAAAGTGTGAACCAAATATTGAAAATACTTTTGATGAAACTCAAGTTCAAGAGTATGAAGCCGAACAAAACGAAATGTTTTATCCGGAACAAAGAGATACTGACTATACGTATGATCAAACTAGCTCAAATGATAACGCTGACATGGACTACGCAAATAATGAGAATTACAATCAAAATGAAAACTATGCTTATTATGAAGGGGATTCACAAGAACAAGCTTACCCTCAGGAAATAAATGAACATGAAGAATCCACTGAACAATACGATCCCCACTACGAAGAACAATACGGAAACTATGAACAACATCAACAAGATCCACAAAATGAATCTGTCGAACAATTTGAAACTGAAGATTATGTAACTCAGCAGGACTACAATCAACTACAATATGAGCAAACAGATTATAACTCCGAAAAACAAATTGAACGACAATTAGACAGTGAACAAGATTACGTAGAACCTCATAATATAGTAGAAGAAAATACAGAAAGTAATATGCCACAACAAACGCTTCAAGAAAACCTAAATACTCAAGAAGAGGCAACTGTGAAATAAAACGTTAACCGCTTCTTGAAGCCGTGATAATTTAGTTAAAATGTGTTTCTATTCGAAATTATATTTTTTCCTTATTTATCATAATAATAAAAATAAAATATAACAAGTAACACCACTGCGAGTGTTTCTGCCCTCACTCCTATTTACACATATATTTATTATATATAGGACCGGGCGAGCACCATAACGGCGCCTCCTGGATAAGACAATATATCTCCTTCGCGTCCAACGCCTGTTTGACTGTCGATAAGTGTATTCATAATTAAAAAACAGATATTAGAATTAGTCTGAATGTACAGTCTGCATCAGTCATTACTCATATTATAGTAAAAATACAATAGAAAAACATTAATTAAAACTGTTTTCAAAACAAGGAGAGATAAGCAATAGCGTCGGCTCTCTCCCATATTTAAATTGCTGGAGGCATGCAACATAGACCGTAATAGTTTGCCGTAAGTGTTGGATCCCATCTCTGCAATATGGTCTGTATTTTATTTATTTAATTAGCTGTTCCCCGCGACTTCACCCGATAATAATTTATTACGATTGTATTTCAGGAGTATGATTTTTTTTTGCGCGGAACCTAATTATTTTTCTAAAATAAAAAAGAGCCTAAGTTACTCCTTATAACATCAGCTATCTGTCAGTGAAAGTCCCGTCAAAATCGCTCCATTCGTTTTGTACATTAGCCGGAACAAACAGACGGACAAAAATATTAAAAATTGTGTTTTTGTTATAAGTAGTACCTAACGTATATATTTTCATATGCATTTAGTATAAAGCTGTTATTTTGAAATTACAAACAGACACTTCAATTTTATTTATTTGTATGTAAAGATTTATACATACACACAATGGAGAGAACAGATCATTATGAAATTTGTACAAAGGTCAGGGGCAACTGTAGCAGCCAAAGGATAATCTGATATAGTTTGTTTTGCTGGTAATAATGTGATATATTTTGTTTTGGGCCGTGTAGAGTGGCGGTGTAAGAATATTATTCCGTGGGTGTCGTAAGAGAGGACAGAGGGAATCAAATCATGAGATGGGCGGCAGCGTCTTAGTAATAACGACTAAAAATTTAAAAATAACTGCGGTTGGCAACCCACCCCCTAAACCGCCGCAAATAAAATCCTCAATGCTATCGAGGGTTGTCATAGATGCGCATAAATACTTGTATAAAGATTATTTCGAAACCCAATTCGTTTCAGAAGTTTTTTCTATGGAAGAGAAGGCAAACGAGCATGTGGTTCATCTGATGGTAAGTGATTACCATCGCCCATGAACATCTGCAACACCAGGGGAATTACAGGTGCGTTGACAGCCTATTAGAAATGAGTAGGGTCCAGAAAAACAGCTGGCGGCAGTAAATTCCACTGTAAAAATGAAACAGGCGTGCAATCAGCTTACAAAAATCATTTTTCTATGCACACAGAAAAATATGAGGACAAAAGATATGCTTACAAAAAAAAATGCAAATAGATATATTTGCATTTTTTTTTGTAAAGAAAATTAAAGATTTGACAATTAAATGAAACTAATTTTACGGATTTTATTGTGTTTAATTTTAACTTTTTAACTCCCGACATTTCAGTCACTTTCCAGCGCCCATTGTCACGGGGCCCCACCCCGAGCCTGACCTCAGTTTAACGTCCCGATAACCGATTTACGCAGAATGCGCTTTCACAATGTTAAAACGATATTATTTTTAGCAGCATTCTACTTCAATTTATCCAAAGTGAAGTTTTTTTTAAGTTGAAACATTTAAATATTAACACAAGCTGTGAAAAAATATTTTTTACCGCAGATTTCCCCAGTGTGCAAAACTTTGTTTCATCCTCCATCCTTTGCTAGAGCTAGAAATATAGCAAAGGATTTTCTCAGTATTTCCTTTCACCTATATCATCTATAACGATACCCACGGACTATAATGGTTTCGAAAATGATTTAGAATGTTAGGTCTGGAGAAGACTTGGCAATGCGTTCTCGAGACTACTTTGAGACTATCGAGTTAAGTTAAAAAAGAATAAAAATTGTGTTATTTGAATATTTTATTACTACATACTGATAAAAACAAACTAAACAGTTCACTATTTAGGTAGTGGTATTTTTTCCAATTCTTCAGCTTGTTCGGGTATCAATGCTTCATAAGGTTTTTTCCAGTGAAATTCCTCCCATGGCAGTCTATCCATTCCAGTAGCCCAATGATGGATTCTACACCTTACTTTTACTTCTTCAGTGTTATTAATCTGGAATATATTATTAAATTCAACACACATTGGTAATTGTCTTTTTTGACATCATCTTCAGGCAGACATCTTGACACTATTATTTGTTGATCTGGACTCTGCATACTTTTATTTAGCATGTATGAAATGGTTATACCGTCATCTATTGAAAGCTTATAGATGTGCTCTTTAACCTTCACAAGGCGTGATGCACAATTGTCTTCAAGTACATAAGATCATTTTAAGTTTGCTTCATTTAAATGGAAATTATAATTAGTACGAGTGTAGGAATAAGTAGAAAATTACAAAAAATTTCCATCAAGTAGGCCACCTAGTGCCAGGATGTGACTGTTGTGTGACTTTTACATGTACACTATTATATTCCATGAGAGGAGGTGGATGAAATGTATGAGGATATATCTTGATCCATGCATTCTTCCAAAACCCACTATACGGTATTAATGGGAGACTTCAACACAAAACTATGCACAAGAGAGAACGGTGAGCAGAAGGTAGGGAAATTTGGAATAGGGCAACGGAACCCAAGGGGCCAGCAGCTGGCTGACTTCGTGGAGAAAGAGGCACTCTTTATGATGAACTTTTTCTTCCAGAAGCGGCCTTAGAGGAAGTGGACCTGGTCGAGCCCCGACGGTTCGACAAAAAATGAGATTGACTTCATTATGACGACCAGACGACAACTGTTCAGTGATGTCCCAATGATCGCGATGGTGAAAACCGGCAGCGATCACCGAATGGTTAGAGGCACACTGAATCTAAACGCTAAGTTGGAGAGATCTCGTTTAATGAAGTCAACGCTCCGTCCTTCTCGTGCTCTAATCCAAAGTCCCGAAACCTTTCAGTTCGAGCAACAATACCGTTTTCAGTGCTTAGAAGATTGCGAATGTCCATGAGGTCGGAGATAAGTTTTGCAAGACCCGCTGCAGAAGAACACAAAAACTCTCCGATCACACTCTTAATCTTATGGCTGTTAGACGGGAAATGAAGCTGCAGTCTTCAACAAATTTGACAGCATACAGGCAATTGAACAGACAGATCTCCAAATGCATGTGGCAGGACTTACGCAACATTAATACTGCTCGTATTGAAGAAGCGATCGAGCGGAACCAGGGCTTCAAAGTCTTTGCTAGAGATCTGTCTGCCAGACAGAGCCAACAGTCGAAGCTGAAGACAGAATGTGGCAGCGTCGTTTCCGGGACACCTGAGATTTTGAGTGAGATTGAGAGGTTCTACGGGCAGCTGTACACATCATGGTTGGAGCCACACGCAAGTGTGAGTGACGATCCAAAAGCAAGTCTTATCCGACACTATTTCTATGATATTCCGGACGTCAGTCTGAGCGAGGTTAGAATGGCTCTCCAGCACCTTAAAGACGGCAGGCCCCAGGCGAGGATGGAATTATAGCGGAGCTTCTGAAAGCGGGTGGAAAACCGGTACATGAAGTCCTTCAGAAGCTCTTTAATTCCATCCTCCATGATAGAACTACACCGGAGGCGTGGAGCAGAAGTGCGGTGGTCTCGTTCTTCAAAAAAGGCGACAACGCTCTCTTGAAAAACTGGACAGATTTCCCTTCTGAGCCGCGTCTACGTGCTTTCTAGAGTCATTACGAATCGACTCGCACGCAGACTCGACGACTTCCAGCCTCCCGAGAACAAGCCGGTTTCCAAAAAGGCTTTAGTACCATAGAACACATACACACCCTTCTGCAAATTGTACAGAAGACAGAAGAGTACAATCTGCTACTTTGCCTTGCGTATGTGGACTATGAGAAACCGAAGTCGACATTTGGGCGGTGCTGCAGTCCCGTCAGCGGTGTCAAGTTGACTGTCGGGTATATCGAAGTGCTGAAGTGTTTGTACAGTAGGGCTACTATGGCTATCCGAGTACAGAACCAAAGTACGAAACCGATCCAACTGCAGAGAAGTGTAAGACAGGGTGACTTTATATCCTCGAAACTTCATTGGAAGACGTTTTCAAGCTTCTGGACTGGAAAGGATACGGTATTAACATCAACGGCAAGTACAATTCTCACCTTCGATTTGCCGACGATATAGTCCTTATGGCAGAATCACTGGAGGACATAAGCATTCAATGACTAAGTCTCATTGACCTCAATAGTGCCTCCCAGCGGATGGGTCTTAAGATGAACATGGACAAAACAAAGATCATGTATAGCGACCATGCCACACCTGTGCGGGTAGTTGTTGGGAGCACTAAGCTCGAAGTTGTTGACGAGTATGTCTGGGACAAATAGTCCGACTAGGTAAGTCCAATTTCGACCGAGAGGTCAGTCGACGGATTCAACTCGGTTGGGCAGCGTTCGGGAAATTACGGCACATCTTCTCGTCAGGTATACCTCAAAACTTGAAAACGAGACTGTACAACAAGTGCGTGTTGCTAGTGATGACCTATGGAACTGAGACGTGGTTTTTCACTGCTGGCCGGATGAGGAAGCTCAAGGTCGCTCAGCGAGCTATGGAGAGGGCTATTCTTTGAGTTTCTCTGCGTGATAAACTTAGAAATGAGGATATCCGCAGTAAAACCAGAGTTACCGACATAGCCCAACGGATTAGTAACCTGGAGTCGCAATGGGCCGGCCATATAGCTCGAAGAACCGACAACCGATGGGGAAAAAGGGTTCTCATGTGGCGACCTCGTACCGGCGGACGAAGTGTAGGGCGTCCCCCCACTAGATGGAGTGACGACCTGGTAAGACATGCAGGACGTCGATGGATGCAGGTGGCTCAGGACCATGCTCTGTGGCATTCCTTGGGGATGCCTGTATTCGGCAGTGGACTTGTGAAGGGCTGTAATGATGATGATATTAAATTCAGTGACAAGAACAAACTAGGTATTTTACGGAAATCGCCAGTAAACTTGGTGTCGAATCAATATTTGGTGTCTTTCATGCAAATGTTTTATCAAATTGTTTTTATCTTTGGCCATAGATTCAATTCTAATAATAAGATTTAGACAATCGTTGTTAGGCGTTAGATATTTATGAATAACAATCAGTTAAAATAATGCATTACCACTCATTTTGAATTTAAAAGATAAAAAGGACAGAGTGTTTGAGATTTTTTTAATTGATTATTCTTCACCATTTGCCTATATTACTTGCTCTGAATCTTCTCTGCAAATTTGGCCGGTAATTGCAAAATGTAAATAGAGATTTTGAAAAACAAGGAATTCATATCAAGTGTAGCAGCTACATTCAATTATATCTTTTACTACTGATTATTTTGAAAATTGAATCACTAAAAACAAAGGAACAAAGATATAAATAAAAGTAACGAACAATTAACTGACACTAATATGCAACTAATAAATAACAAAGAACAATAATATGTAAATATATTACAACATTATTGACTTCGACATAATCAGCCTTAATGATTGTTTTTTATACTTAGTCAACTCAACTAAATTGACAACATGTTTTATGTGTAGATTTTAAGATTATTGTAAAACTTACCTTAACAGTGACATAAAACTCTTTTTCTTGTAATGACAAATCTGGGCCCTTAATTTCTACTGGAGGCATTTTTATAGCGTGTTCTGGCACTACAAACCCAGCTTTACGAAAAGATGCACGTACATGCCAAGGTTCAAGAGTCCATGGCTCTTTTTTGCTCATGGTTATTTGTAATACTAGTCGTGACAAACACCCAATTGTCTGTAAAAAATGATAAATGTCATTTTTTCAGTTTTTATACCTTTGATTTTGTTCAGAGTTTTAAAACATGTTAGCATGTGATATCTAGGTGCTTTCCTGTCACAAGTATTGAAAAATACTTAAAAGGAGAATTCTGAGTACAGCTAATAATGTAAATTTATTGTTACAGAATAAACATTTTTTCTGATTTTTTTTTAATCTATCATGTGATTCACAAATACCATATTATTATTACTACTACTTATTAATTGATGAGTTTGTTCTTCTGACCGATTTTTGACCACGGCAATAATTTCCTGCTCAGGACACGAAGTGACTAAAGATCCAGTTACTGGTCGAACAACTATTAGGGTTTATCCCGCTAATACTAGGTTCAGCCGACTGCGGTTGGCTAAACCTACGAGTTTAAACTTATAAACAGATATTTATTTAATAGATCATTTATTTGGACTTTACCCAAACACTACAGGTAATTTTAAACAAAATCACGTCAACCTTATTATTCCTTCTTACATTAACAATGAATAAATAGAACTTTAACCAACCTCAAACGGTGCACCTAGTTGCAACTGGCTAAGTCAAGTTTAATTTTTATTTAAAATAATAATTAAAAATTAAATATTTTGTACAACCGACTTCAATATACAGGTTGTCCCAGAACTCAACGTCAAGCCGAAACGGGGTGACAGGATTGATTGTAAGCATCATGAGAAAAATTAAAAAAAATTCTATCCTATGCAGTTTGGAAATTATGGGCATTTAAGATAAACCTAGAAATTTGGTCAAACTGTAACCTTTTTGCGGTAATTGTGGTTAATTTTTATTATTTTTGTTCGTTTAAACTTTGGAACCGTAACCCTAAATAATATTTCTAGAACCACAGTCAAAAATAATGACACAACTACCCCAAGTTTTCTAGAATTAAGACTATTTGTTAAACTATGAATTTAAAATTTTCAAAATTTGACGATTTTCAAAGGCCCTCCTTTAAAAAAAATGTACTAAAGTGCCTTGCCAAGTGCCATTAAAAGTTCGCGCATTTAATCAGGATTGTAAAATGGTTCTTGTTAGTTTCTTACTAAAAAAATAAAAACCTCGAGTAACCCGATTTTTGCTAACCCATTTTACTCAGTTCAAATATTTTTTATTCGTATAAGCTTTTGTAGTTTCTTAATTTTACGGCAAAATGGTGAAAGAGTTGGATAGTGGACATGTTTGTCATGAGCGACCGAGACAGATAGTGCGCCACGCAGTGAGACGGAGATGCATCTGACACCAGTTAATACGTTTCGCTCATTCGTCTACTGCGCATCTTCCCGTATTCGCTTGTGTTGATTGAACTTTGGCTTCTCTTTTTGGACTTAGATTTTTGTGAATTGGACTTGTTGATTACATACCGGCAACTTTGACTTCTCTCTTTTGGAATTGGACTTTTATGTTGGCATCCTTGTCATCTGCCATGCCTACGCGCTACATAGGCTGCACTAAAAGTATCGGGAATGGAATATTTCCACTGTTCACTGTCATATTAAAATCTTTTTAATTGAAAACTCCTTGGTTTTAAAAATCGAATACCATTTATTTATTTAAAAAAAGGATCTCGGTCTTGTCACAAGGTTTTGTCATACTTGTTTAGTCGTTGAGAAAATAGAATTGACTCGAGAAAATTCAAGAGCGATGATTTATTATGACTTTCGAAGTGGTTTAACACAAAAACAGTGTGTTGAGCGGATGATTTCTGCATTTGGTGATGAAATAAATAAAAATAAATAAAGCCCCATCCAAAACCACAATTTGTCGCTGGTATTGCTAAATTTCAACGTGGACGTGTCAAGCTCAGTGATGATCCCCGTCAAGGTCGTCCAAAAACTGCAGTCACCCAAGAAAACGTTGATGCTGTGCGTAAGCTGATTGAGGAAGATCGACATGTGACATACCGCGAAATTCAGGCAACTTTAAGACATTGGCATGAGTCAAATACAAATAATCTTGCATGAACAATTAGGTGTAAAAAAGTTGTTTTCCCGATGGATACCGCATTCGCTCTGTGAAGAGCAAAAAGCGACTCGCGTTATTTGGTGCGTCAGAACTCTCGAAAGATTCCACGCAGGATCCTCAAATGATGTATACAACATCGTATCAGGTGACGAATCCTGGATATACGCGTACGAACCCGAAACAAAAAACCAGTCACGAGTTTGGGTGTTCGAAAATGAGTTAAAGCCAACAAAAATTGTTCGTTCACGGAGTGTTGCAAAAAAATGGTGGCCACGTTTGTCTCCAAAACCGGCCATGTTACGACTATTCCTCTTGAGGGACAAAGAACGGTTAATGCTCGACTCGGTTAATGTTAAGACGGCTCCGTGGCGCAGTGGCTTAGCAATGAGTTGCTGCGCTGGGGGCCGCGGGTTCGAATCCCGCACGGAACACGTATTTGTATGGCCTACAAATAATTGTTCCGGGTCTCGATGTTTGTCCTTGTGCAATTTATGTTTGTAAACTGCCTCCACGATACAGGAGAAAATCCTAGTGTGGGGGGTAACGTTTCTTAAAAAAAAAAATGCAGATTGGTATGCTAGCATTTGTTTGCCACAGGTCGTTTCTGAACTCCGTAAAGAGAACTGCAACCGCCGCATCATCCTACATCACGACAATGCGAGTTCTCACACCGCACACAGAACAAAAGAGTTTTTAGAGCAAGAAAACATAGAATTATTAGACCATCCGCCGTACAGCCCCGACCTAAGCCCTAATGATTTCTATACTTTCCCTAAAATAAAGAATAAATTGCGTGGACAGAGATTTTCGTCATCCGAAGCTGTGGACGCCTAAAAAACGGCCATTTTGGAGACCCCCAACTTCTGAATGGAATGGTTGCTTCAATGATTGGTTCCATCGTATGGAAAAATGTGTCAAATTTCGCGGAGAATACTTCGAAAAACAATAAATACATTTTTAAATAGTAATGTTGTGTCACTTCCTAGATTCCCGAAATTTTCAGTGGCGCCCTCGTACACATCACAAGAATATGCGAACATGCACCTCATTTATGGGGAATGCAGATGCAACGCAAGTGCCGCCGCTAGACTTTATCGTGAAAGATATCCAAATTTAGAGCGCTATCCGGATCACCGCGTGTTTGTTAATGTGCACCGTTCACTCAAGGAGGGCGGCCATTTCCCGAATCAAACACGGGCTGGAGGTAGAGCTCGCTTTCCTTACGAGGAAGAAGTGTTGCAAGAGGTCGCAGATGACCCAAGTATTTCCGTTCGTGGAATTGAAGAAAGAACGGGAATAGCCAAAAGCACATAACATCGTATTTTACAAAGAGCTGAAATGCATCCGTTTCACGTACAACGAGTTCAAAGTCTTCTTCCTCGAGATTATCCTGAAAGGATTTCATTTTGTAGGACAGTGCTAATCATCCAAAAATTCTCTGGTCAGATGAATCTACATTTAAAAAAGATGGTTACATAAACTTACACAATTTTCACGAGTGGAATGTGGCGAATCCACATTTAATGCGAGAAGACAGATCCCAGTATCGCTTTAGTCCACGGGCCCACATACAAGGGATTTCAGTGATTAATAACAGACTGAAAGTTTATACACAGCTTCGTTTTGATGAGACACCCAACTTTTATCATTGGACCAAATTCTGATAGTGGAAGGAAAAAGCGCGATAGGGAGCGAAACACGTCGATTTGATGAGTGTCCCAAATGAAATAATAACAGTTTCTAAAAATCAATACTTCGAAAAATACGATGGAAAACTGAGAAAAACTTGTGGCATACAAAGTGAATGGTACCTTCCGAGTGACCCCCAGGTCTAACATGTCAGAATGGTGACTTGAAAAAATTTATTAATAACAAGCTGATTTTTGTTTTGGGGCTTGCAAAATATGTTTTTTTTTTTTATAAAAAATGCATCGGCATACAAATTTGTTAGTAATTTTTTTGAGACCTACACTCGAAAGTTGTCAAGATTATGTTGATCTTTTTTTGATTAATAACTGTATGCCACGAAAAATTTATAATTATTTACTTAATTCTTAATCTAAATATAATAGTGACCTACAAAAAAATTGTATTTTTTTAGTTAACCTACAAAAATAAAAAAATCGAATCATTTAATATGTGCTCCGTACTTATGTCTTGTAACCACTGGTTTCATTTGTATTAAACTAATGTTATAAAAATAAAAGCTTGTATTTTGAGTGTATTATCAGAACTTTACTTGCACAAAGCATAAATTTCTTTCGTAATTTTTTTTTATAAGTTCTCTTTTCGGACGAAAACGTTCGTCCTTACGTAAAGAATTGCACAAGAAACACTCGACGATGACGATCACTTAACAGCTTCGAAAAGATAGCTCAACTAAATCCATATGGAACGCTTTGAATTGTGTTTTGAAAAATAGTCGTTAGAGCTGATGCTTAAAGGAAGAAGGGAGGGGATAGTAGGTCTTACGATTTTATACCTGAGGCAAAATCACACAGTTCAGCATATTTTTTTTTATAAGTCACTGCAAAAAAATTATAGTGAAAAAATTATTGCTACAAACATGTATTAAGTATATGTATTTTATAGTGATGCAACGAATACGAATACGAATATTCGTATTTGCCGAATAGTAGACATATACCGAATATTCGTATTCGGCGAATACTGATCACGAAGATTTAAAAAGTAATATTTTTTACGCAACTCTAATTACTGGCGAACTTGGATAACGCACGTCGTCGGCGCGTAAAGAGTACGACGTGTGTTTTGGCCCTTAGCCTTAACGACGGGGGACTCCCAAAAATATTTTTCACTGAAACTATGTACAGTCGCCTCGGAAAGACTTTTTTCAACGGCTGGGAACGACCAGACTGAAAGAAGAAATCGCTCAAAACCAGAAAATCTACAAATTTTATGTTTTTTAAATAAAAATTTGCCTATTGTAAATTTTAATTATTAGAACAGTAGAAAATCATCATATAAATTAGTTTTGCTCCAGTAGATAGAATAGAATAGAATAAACTTTCAGCCTGTTATTAATCACTGAAATCCCTTGTATGTGGGCCCGTGGACTATTTATAGTAAACCTGTGTACCGGAATTTTAAACGGCAAAATTGTTAGGCCTTTTGAGCTGCCTGAGAACTTCAATGGCGCGAATTACCTACATTTTTTACGAGAAAATTTACCAACTTTGTTAGAGGACGTACCACTAACTTTTTTAGTATGAAAGTAACAAGTATTGTACCATTTTACAATCCTGATTAAATGCGCGAACTTTTAATGGCACTTGCCAAGGCACTTTAGTACATTTTTTTAAATGAGGGCCTTTCAAAGTCGACAAATTTTGAAAATTTTAAATTCATAGTTTAACAAATAGTCTTAATTCTAGAAAACTTGGGGCAGTTGTGTCATTATTTTTGACTGTGGTTCTAGAAATGTTATTTAGGGTTACGCATTTACGGTTCCAAAGTTTAAATGAACAAAAATAATACAAATTAATCACAATTACCGAAAAAAGGTTACAGTTTGACCAAATTTCTAGTTTTATCTTAAATGCCCATAATTTCCAAACTGCTTGGGATAGATTTTTTTTCTGATTTTTCTCATGATGTTTACAATCAATTCTGTCACCCTGTTTCGGCTTGACGTTAAATTCTGGGACAGCCTGTATATTGTTAAGGTTAACTCAAAAACTATTGGTCAGACCTTAATCAAATTTATATGGGACCACATGTGAAGGACCAGCTTTCAAATAAAAAAAAAGAATCATCGAAATCGGTTAATGTAATATTTAAAATAGATTTAGGCGGGGCGCTAGCGTGTATAAATTTAAAAAAAAAATAACAACTTCCCTCTCTGGGAAAAAGTCACAATATTTAAACAATTGAAATATTCATATTTGGGACAGTGAAATGGTTATTTTTTTCTCATAAACTACAGAGTTTTACACTACTACTCTCTCTTAAAAGGGGTTCACAACAACCCAACCCCTGTCCTTCTTCGCACACATTTTTAACAGATGCACAGTTTTGTTTTTTGTATATAAACATCATAACTGCATCCATTATACAGGGTTATTTTTCAGAGTAGCCAAATTTTAAACTTAAGTTCATATATAAATAAATAATGATATACAATTATTGCAGTTTTTGAAAATATGAGTAAATACGGCTTCTACTTTTATTTGAAATTATCCCAAATTGAATGTGATTAATGAGCAACAACTATGCGAACACACTCCTGTGTGTGTGATTCAAGTCACGTTTTTGCCAACTGATTGATCCTTACAAATGTGTGCGTGTGTAGTAAAATAGTAGGCATTAGATTTTTATGAATGACAATCAGTTAAAATAATGCATTACCACACATTCTGAATTAAAAAGATAAAAAGGACAATGTTTGAGATTCTTTTAAATTATATTTTCTTCACAATTGCCTATATTACTTATTCTGAACTTACCCTACAAATTTGGCCGGTTATTGCAAAATAACCCTATATAACTATTGGCATTTTAATGCCTATAAAATTTAATTGAAAAACAATTTTTTACCCTTTGAACATAAGGTGAGCTGTATGTGCCTTCAACCTTAGGCTTATTCTCATCAACCTTATACTTTGCAAAATTTTCTGGACTAGCATACACTGCTAAACCTGGCACAAGGAACTCTTTATAAGCTTTAGCTGGACTAAGAGTAAGTACATCTCCTGCTTCTCCAACACCTTAAATAAATTAATGGTTATCAGTATACAAAAACTAATTCATATAAAAAATATGTTAGACAAATAACAGATAATAGATAAGAAGGCAATGTTTTACTTTACCACCGAACATGTGGTAAATGTGCACTAAAATTGCATATTGGGGATTACGGGGATTAAACAAAGATTGATTGCATTCTGTCAAATTTATGGCAAGTGCTTAACTCCTGAGGTGTATTTACTCAAATTCAAATAAAGTTTTTTAAGGAAAAACTGTTCTATGTTCAAACTGATACACTATGACTGATAATAACCAGACTTTACGGATGAGTTTGATTTTGAAATGTGAACATTAATTAGTAAATAAAGTCATCATGATGATAATTCATTATGCCCACTTGTTTGTAATAGAATACTGACTGGTTATAAATAGAAATATTTATCTCCTATAGATGTCTCTGCTTCACTTATAATATATAGATATAGATATAGCACCCTTGTTACAAATAAAATTGTGTCTAAAAGTGCAGTATGATGTGACTGGTGCTGGGGCTCAGCAGTATTATTGCATAGGCAAATGTTTTAAGTTGGATGGACTACATCCATACAATGTTAACAAGGAGTACATCCAGCAGATCTAAAGGAGGCTGTTAAAAAGAAGAAACTATTGGTAGTCAGAGATATTTCAGATTATGTTTCAGTAAATATTTGGATATGGTGTTGGATAATTTTAACAAATCTTTTTATTATGTTTTTATGTTAAAAAATCGGTCTAGCCAATTAGGGGGTGTTCAGTTACATACACACAAATACAAAGAAATATATATATATATATATAAAAATAAGTTAGTTGAGATTAGTATTAACTCTTTCTATTCAAATTGCTTCAGATGAGCTTAAGGCTACTTCAGTGATGAATAATTTAAAAGTAAGAAATCAAAACATGTAATTTTAGTAGAGCTATTATAGATAGCAACAATGAAATTTAGTTTCTAAATACTTATATTTGAATACAGGGAGTTGAGTAGGATTCAATTCTAATGACTTTTGCACACAATACAATTTTGCTTTTACATTATTAAGAACTTGAATCACCATCAGTATTCAAATGTATTTCACCTCTAACTGATGCTTTATGTTGAGCCAGTATATAGATGCATTTAACAAGCATTTGGTTTATAAAAAGCTAACAAAGAGTAAACAACTGACACCAGTACTTATCTCATTACATTTGTATGTTGAGCAATGGTAAAAACATACACAGCTCAGTGATAGAGGTAGTTATGCATTGCAAACATCTCAGAGGTAGAGGTAGATATGCATTACACACAGCTCAGAGGTAGAGGTAGATATGCATTACACGCAGCTCAGAGTTAGAGGTAGATATGCATTACACACAGTTTAGAGGTATAGGCAGATATGCATTACACACAGCTCAGAGGTACACACAGGAACTTGTGATCAAACTTTTATTAAGCAAAAGTAATCACTAGGTGGTAGCACTCCTTTTCTGTTTAATCCGTTTGGGAAGGTACCACTTTTTTACCACTGTCTACCAACAAATAGCAATGCCTGCACTGATATGTTTCAATCTGAAGGGCTATAAGGATTCTATAATCAGAGGTGACAAATGTGAAAATTCTTTGTTTGAAGTAGGTGCAAGTGTCTATGTGCTGCAGTAGCCAATTACCATTAGCAAACTACTGCAACATTGTCTGCAATAGACAAATATCTACTGGAGGTGGGCAAAGTGTATCATTTTTGTGATTGGATCATTTGCATCTTGATCACTGAAATGTTCCGAAACACTGATATGTTTCATTTGGCTCATTTGAATCATCGACTCAAAAGATATAAAAGAAAGAATGTTCCGAATAGGTACATTAAGTTGCGTCGCGGGCGTTTATTACTGACTGATCCGTGAAATGTTATGTGGCAACAATGCTGAATAATATAAGTGCTTAGATTATTTATTGTGTACCGTAATAAGATTGTATATAAAATCGATTCTCCTTCATACTTTAACAAAAATGGCACTATGTCAATTCATTATTTACAAAAATGTTCATTTACACAAAACAGCAATGTCTATGTACACAGAATTTACTCGTAAAGTATCATAACTCTAAACTTTATGATGAAAAGGAAGGAAGTAAAGTCACAATAATCACTACGCAAAGAAATCCTAAACATAATTCAGTATGTTTTCGTAAACAGGCGCTAATGAATATAAACAATTTGACAAGTGTCGCATGAACGTAAAATGACAACTTGTTAATGCAAACGCTACATACAAAAAATGACCGTGTAGTATTTGACACATAAGCGCCTTAGTGGTAATTTTTACGTGCTTGAATAACATCAGCGAAAATCCGTAGGAGTTGTGATACACTTCTTATTTGTTATCTCTATCTGACTTGTGTGGATTATAATTATTTCACCCGCTCACTCGCCACTCGTGAGTTAATAGTTAAGTTAATCATTGTCTCAAACTGTCTCTCTCGCTCATGTCTCAGTCGCATCGCAAGCGACGCTTCGCGCAAAATGAGCAAAAAGCAAAGTAATGTTTCACTGCTCCAGATACAAATGATACATTTGAAACGTTGGTATTGAACCAATCTTTTGTGTCACTTCAGTGATTCGTATCAGTGAGCCGTTTCCGTAAAGAGATACACACGCCTAATATCTACTAAAGAATAAAATCTAATTTAAGGTCTACTAGTTTTCTAGACTTGTAATATTATTATTTTTAACTAATAATATTTTAATACTTTCTTGATATATAAATACAATGCGGGACATAAAATATTCTTAAATGAATAAATTTAAAAAGTGATAGTACTGTACTAAGTTTTACTTCATAAGCACCTTAAAAAACTTACCATCGACAAACTGGTTTAAAATAATCTTTAAGTCTGGTTTTTTACGAACATTTGTATCTTCAACCAAGTCATATACGAAGTGTCTACCCCTCATTTTAGATGGCTTGCCGCCTTTTTTATGTAACGGTGGCGGCCATCGTCGTTTCAAAACAAAAGTATTCTGAAAAATAGATCAAACGTATAATTAAGAAAATGCCTCATAAGTTTTGTCAAGTACATACAATTAAAAAATTACCCTTGTTTGTTGACAAAATAAAGTAGGAAATGTCGTAACAGCTTTATTAAAAACTGATCTTATACCTAACATGCTTATACAATATCTAATGAATTGATACAAATCTTTATTTTAACATTCAATTCCCTTAATTTTATTTAATTCAAAAGAATATTATTTTGTACTTTGTGAGGTTATGAAAAGAGCGAAAAGAGCTGTCACAGACTAAAAAGGAAGGCAAAGGTCGTAGACCATACATCGTTAACTAATTTATATTTCGTTAAAAATCTCTTCACAGTTTGATGATACGAGGGTGGATTGAAAAGTACTCGGCCTAACCAAGAAAATAAACAAATACTAAATCAGTTATATTTTTATTTTTCTACATAATCACCATCAAGTTCAATACACTTTTGCCACCTCCCCTTCCAAGCATTTAGACCGTTGAAAAAAAATGATTCTTCCTTAGAGTCAAAGTATGCGTCTACAGCTGCTTTGACCTCGTCGTTTGTCGAAAATCTTTGACCTTCCAAGTGCTTTTTTAGGTTACGGAACAGAAAAAAGTCTGATGGTGCCAGATCAGGTGAATACGGCGGATGCGGTAACAGTTCAAAGCCATAGTTGTGAATTTCAGCCATTGACTGTACTGACGTGTGAACACGGGCGTTATCTTGATGAAACAGGACTTTTCTTCTGAGCATTCCTCGACGTTTTTCTTTTATTTCCTCTCGTAAACGACGTAGTAAGGTGCAGTAGTAATCAGAGTTTATATTCTGACCCCTTTCAAGATAATCAATCATAATCACACCTTTCGAGTCCCAGAATACTGAAGCCATCACCTTATTTGCCGACAAAATCGACTTAGCCTTTTTAGGGGGTGGTGAACCAGGTCTTCTCCACTGTTTTCATTGTTGTTTTGTTTCCGGTGTACAGTAATGAACCCATGTTTCGTCCATAGTAACAAAACGATTCAAAAAATCATCTGCATCGGCTTCAAATAACTCCAAACAGTCGCGTGAAATAGTCAATCGCGTCCTTTTTTGTTCAACTGAAAGCAGTCGCGGAACCCACCTCGCAGACACCTTGTGGAAACCCAACTCGTTGACAATGATGTTTTGAGTTCGTTCATAAGAGATGCCTATAATCTCGGCTATCTCTCTAATTTTTAATCTGCGGTCTCCCATTATTAAATCAAGTACTTTTTTAATATTTTCGTCAGTAGTTGACGTCGAAGGCCTTCCAGAGCGGGGTTCATCTTTCACACTCTCTCTACCACGCTTAAATTCTGCTATCCATTTTTTGACGGATGAATATGACAGAGCACAATCACCTAATGTACTGACCATGTCATCATGGATGGCTTTTGATGATAGCCCCTTCTTATGGAGGTACTTAATGACGGCACGCTGCTCGATTTGCTCCATTCGCGGAAATTATGTCCGATTACTTTGTTAATAAATTTATAAAATCACAACTAATTATCGCACACGTTTCGAACATCACACAATGAACTAGTCTGAACTAAACTAAATAATGTGGGTAGATTTGATTTTTAGAATTGAATGGATCTGTGTTAGGCCGAGTACTTTTCAATCCACCCTCGTGCAATTTGAAATAATCAAAATTCGATATACATCTGACTAATCAAAACTCGATGTTTGTGATACTATAAAAGGCAACTACGTGTACTCATTTGCGTTCACTGATTATACATATGTGAGTTTCTTTTGTAGTTTTAAACGTAGCAGAGCCATCCTTTAGCTATATTAGTAGTATAGTTGTAGCACGAATGTGTCGGCACGACCGGGGAAGGACCACGCTCTCACAGAATACCAGCGTAAAATGGCAGCTTAACACTGCTGTGTTTCGTATGGTGAGTGTAGAGAACCGGAGACCCTTTTTACTGGAGAAAAGAGGCATTCCATCTCAGTCCTCACGGGTGACAACGCATCTGCGTTTTGATTCGCAAACGAGGATAGATGTAGATGTCTATGGGCCACAGCAACTGCTTACCATCAGGTGGACTGTGTGCACGTTTGTCATTCTATCCTATAAAAAAAATTAGAGATAATAACTTATTTTCATTTCAAGTAACCAAATAAACAGCCATAAGCAACCTAAAATGTATCTATGCTTGGATACACTTAGGCTAAACGTTTGGTCTCAGCACGATGGGTAGTAGGTTCAAATCTAAAGCCGCGTCTCCACCAAAGTTTTGTTACCAACTGTTGTGTTGCCAACACGTATTGGTAAAAAATGTTTCTGTAATTACCTAGTGTTGGCAACAAAACTTGAAACAATGTCGGGAACCGTGTTTCCATTTTCGGCGGGAACATCAAAGGAATACGCTTATTGTAAACATTTGTTCCCTCGGTGGAGATGTTTGTTGGAAACATTTGTCGGCAACATTGGAAACATGTTCGTAACATTTGTTGAGTTGGAAACAGTTGGAAACATAAATGTTGTCAACATTTTTGGTGGATACGCGGCTTTCCACATTACAAGTATTTTAATGGCCTACGAATAATTTTTGGGACCCTGATATTTGTCTATGTGTGATTTATGAATGTTAAAAGAATATGAACGTTAATCACATCGTTGTGATTTGAAAATGAATGAAAGGAAAAAGTGACACTAAAAAGAGACACATAAAGAAACTATATATCTATAGGATTTAGCCCGCGTGAGAATGAGACGACAGAGATGTGAATACCGTGTAGTAAGCGATCATGTATAACGTCCATCTATTATTTATTCTGTGCGTCCATGACACACCTATGCCGGTAGTTGTTGGGAGCACTAAGCTCGAAGTTGTTTACGAGTACGTTTACCTACGACAAATATTCTGACTAGGTAAGTCCAACTTCGATCGAGAGGTCAATCGACGGATTCAACTCGGCTTATCAGTGTTCGGGAAATTACGATACATCTTCGAGATATACCTCAAAACTTGAACACGAGATTGTACAACCAGTGCGTGTTACCAGAAGACTTCTGGATCTGAGACGTGGTTCTTCACTGCTGGCCGTAGGAGGATCGACATAGCCCAACTGATTAGTAGCTGAAGTGGCACTGGGCGGGCCACATAGCTTGAAGAACCAACAACCTATGGGGAAAAAACTTCTCGAGTTGCAGTCTCGTACTGGTAGGCGAAGTATAGAATGGCCCCCTACTCGATGGAGTGACTACCTGGTTAGACATGCAGAAAATCTATGGATGCAGGTGGCTCAAGAATGTGCTCTGTGGCATTCCTTAGAGGAGGCCTATGTTCAGCGGTGGACTTGTGAAGAGCTGTAAAGATGACGATGAATGATGATGATCAAAAACATATTATAAATACTTATTATATAAATAAAAAGTTATGCCAAATATACGTACAGAAAATGCCAAAAATATGCTAAAGTTTACAGAAAGTGTTAGGAAAAGTGCCATAGATACTAATTTACTTCGTTAAAGATTAGTTTTTTAGTTTTGTTGCTAAAAGCAAATGAATTAATTAAATTTGATAAAAGTTTTTTCTTTATAAATGTTAAAAATCACTTAGATTTATATTTTAAAAATGTACGCGCCACATTTGTATTTTTCATTGCTTTGTCACATTTACTGTATTAATTAGTATAATTATTTCTAAATCTCCGCCCCCTTTCTAAAGTGATTTAGTAGTTTTTGGCATTTTTACTAATATTTAAATCTACCAAAATACACGGTGTGTGCAGTTTTAAATTAGATAATCTCTATGTGATTTGGATTTGAAACATCTATAAAGATTGGCTGGCAGAAAGGCTGTAGAACTAATCTTCGAAATAATTTGATATGACACTTTTTTAGCATTTTCTGGTTTCGGAAAACTAGCTGCCGTAGTGATTATATTCTCTTTGCTAGCTGCTAGCATATTTTTGGCATTTTCTGAATGCAGCCTGGTTTAAAAATATTTTTAGAGTTGGCAGCTCTGAATCTAAGTTACTTTGTGCTTTTCCGGTTTGTTAGATAATTTTCATCAGATTTATATAGATTATTACCTATTTTAAGTTTTTTAATGTAATCTTGATAAGCATAAGTACCTTCGTTTTGTTAATACGTTGGATTTTACACAATCCTTTCGGATACTTTGCAGACTTCAGTGTTTACTTTAAATAAAAATGGATGATGACGCTAGTTCAGAATTACAGGTAAGTATATATGAACTAGGTTATATTTTATTTAATATTCTTTATCGAATTAATGTTATTTAAATTTTGTAGAAGTGTCTATCAGAGAGTCCGATGGATACCGATGAAGGCCCTCTTATAAATGAAAACTCCAATGGATTGTCGCATCTTTTGACGGAAGGGGAATTTAACAGTGTTGATACCGGAGTTGTAGATGAATCGTCAACATCAAATCAGGGCTTTCTTAATGCAGTTGAATTGTCTGCTGGCAGTGTAGGAGATTATTTAGAAAATAACACCAGTGAATTTAACACAGACACATTCGATGTTGGAGATAATGCAGTAACATTTCCAAGTGAATCTTTAAATAACATGCTTTCTGATGGGGATTCACGTCTGAGCGATGCGATGTATAAAAATATGACGTCCGATATGGAAGGTGATTATACAGATAGCCAAAGAACCAAAATGGGATCTGATTTTGAACAAGATATTGCTAGAGATGAATTAAATGATGTTCGTTTGTCAGTTCCATCCGAACACCATGAGAATTTGAAAATAGAGGACACCAGTTGTCCGAATATTGATGCAAAAACGTGTGACCTAAGTAATGATGCAAGTCAATCTACTGTAGACCATATTTTGAGAGAGAAAATGGAGGTAATTGCCATTTTCATATTTTTTCAATGTTAAACTATACATAATTGGACATAGTTATACAAAAACGTTCCAACCCACTAGTCATTCAAAAATGAGTTAAATATACAGATCTACTTATTTTGACATCTTCGTGAAGATTGTGAGGAAGACTTGTGGGTTGGAACATTTTTGTATAACTACGTCTAATTGTTCTTATTTATACTAATCATTTTTAAAATATCATCTTTATTATACGGTGTGACCAAAACAATTTAGGGCATGACAGCTGTCATTAGCTAAGATGTCATTAGAAATAATGATTTCTTATATTTACGTGAACACCACACATTGAATAAAACTACTTTTACGGATTTTATCGCGTTTAATTAAGTTATTTTATATTCCCGACGTTTCGGTTGCTTTCCAGCAACCGAAGTCCCAGTCCCCGTGACCACGGTTGCTGGAAAGCCACCGAAACGTCGGGAATATAAAATAACTAAACTAAACGCGATAAAATCTATAAAAGTAGTTTTATTCAATGTCATTAGAACTAGGGAGACAATACGTAACGGTGATTGATCACTAGGTAAAGCGTGGGAATAGAGGCAGCAGAAGGTGCGGGTGCCGAAAGCGCTTTCCTGTCATGCAACTAATTGTTTTAACCAAGTTGTAATTAATAGAGTCAGTTTTTCCTATAAAAAAATATTATATAAAAGATTTTTTTGTTTATTATTTTAAAAAAAAATTCTGATATTGCGAATTTCTCTTTAATTATGGAGGCATTTACTCATAGAGAAATACTAAGACACAGAACAATTATATGTAGGCCAAGTTGTTCTGTGCAGGAAGTATGCAACTCTTAGTTGTACTGCACTACAGTGTTATTATATTAATCAGTGTTAATCTAGATCAACTATTATGAATGTATTTGTAATTATAATGACTTCATGTGCCAATTAGGGGGAAGGAGCAAAGAAAACATTTGAAGATGAAAAATCTTCTCCAGATAAAGAAACTGAAGTCATTCAAGAAGAGAAACAAATGGATGTGTCAAATAAAAATAAACAGACCATTGAAGCTGAAGAGATAGTTGAAACTAAAGAGATAGTTGAAACTAAAAACACAATTGAAATAAAAGAGACAGTGGAAACTATAGAGGCAGTGGAAACTAAAGAAGTATTTGAAACTAAAGAAGTTGTGGAATCTAAACAGATAGCTGAAACTACTGAGACAAAAGAAGCTAAGGAGACAATTGATATAAATCAATGCAATAAAACTGCCATACAGAAAGAAGAAGAAAATACAAAATCCGAGGTATGCTTAATGTTTAAGCTATCATAATAATCTATTTGACATTTAACAATCACTATTCTATAGTAATATAAATTGTTAATTGTATAAATTGTTTGTATAGCAAGGTAAAATAAATATAAATAAAATAAAATTACTAGATAAGTAGAGTATGTATAAGAGAAGCTAGAGTAGATGTAGGGGTTACCTAGGGTAGACAGTAGATTTTGATATTAGTGAATATTATTTGGTATGGAAAAATATCAAGTTCTTGAATATACATTGTTATACTTAAAATAATGACAAGAACAGCTGTCATTATTATACATATACACATACATAAACAGTCATGCCTGTCACCCTTAGGGGTAGGCAGAGACTATGGCCTTCCAGTGGCACAATACTGGCACACCTCTCTCAACTCCTCCACATCCATATACCTACACATACATGCTCATGGGTTAAGGCTTAATTTGGCCCATTTTCAATATATTGCCAATTTGGTTGATAAAACTTCAGCTAGGGCATCCCTTCCCGACTCTGCTGTTCTTTTCTGCAACATAAATTTGCTTAGTCACTCTTTCCTCATTCATTCTTTCTACATCACTAAACCACCGAAGTGGAATAAAAGGGCTTTATTATTATTAAACCACCGAAGCATTCCTTTCTTAATTCTAGTACAATATCATCTTGCAAACCACATTCTTCTCTTATCACACAATTTCTCACCCTGTTTTATTATTTATTGTTTAATTATATAATAAGAGTTAATTGTAATCCCTCCCATACTTAGTTTGTATTCTTAATTTTACTAATTACTCATCAGTTAAAGAGGAACAAATATAATAATCATTCATTTCATTTTGCGAGGGTTTGTCTATTGCTTTCAAGCTTCTTTTAAAGCTTATTTTCTTTTTGAACAAAAATATTACATTAATATGTGCAAAATATATTGGCATTTTAATAAATAAAATTAACAGCAGTGGATAAGGTAGATAATAATAAGCATTGATAGAATTCTTTTTTAAATTATGTATTGACAAAAACATGGTAGAGTAAGAGTAAACTGTGGGATGTACTTAAATGATCTGTTCTTGGAGTAAGACTTTGGAACTCCTTACCCCAGTCAATTAGAAGTGCTCAATCCTTAAATGTGTTCCAGAAACAGATTAAGGAATACTATCTGTCTCTCTAACCCCTCTCACTTCCTCTGCTTAATTATTGTCATTGATCTCCCTGAAGAATGTTGTCTTTTTATGCATAAGTTTGTATCTGTATTTTATTTTTGTTTGTTTTTTTATTTTAGTGCACCCTACCCATTGTGATTTTTCTTATTTTTATTTATTTCTTCTTCTGGGTTGTCTGGAAGAGATTGCTCTGTAGCAATAAGACCGCCCTTTGTATTTCCCTCAATAGTTTTTTTTTATTATTCTTTTCTAGGTGTACAATAAAGAGTATTGTATTGTATTGTATTGATACTTATGGCTATCAATAGATGGTGGAGTAACCTTCTTGTTAATGCCAGCCTTAAAATATCAAGACCCACAATGGGAAGCATCAAAGTGGAAAAATATGAATACTGAGCTCTTCCATTCGCCTGCCACTTCTTTCAATTAAGGCAAATCCTCTCCACAATTGTGGATATCCATGTCCAGCAGTGGTGATTTATAGGCTGATAAAGAATAAGACTTAAGAAAAACTTACCGCATAGTGGCGGTGTAATAATATCCCCGTATAGTGGTGCGTAAGAATCCCCGTTTAGTAGCAGGTAAGAATACCCACTACCTCATATCTTCCCGTGGGTGTCGTAAGAGGCGACAGAGGGAAACTGGGACAGAAGATGGGCAGCAGCATCTTTCTGATAACAGCAAAATAACAATAACAAAAACTGCGGTTGCCAACCCGCTCGCCAAGCGTGGGAACTATGACAATATACCCTCATGATGATAGTTACGAAGAGACGGCCCTCAGTCCCTGGTGGCCCCGCTATTTCTGGCTACGGTGGCGATCATGGTAACGGCGGGGCAGGGGGTGCTAAGAATCTCCGGTGGAGGTTCGGTTGCCACCTAAGACGACTCGACCTGACGACATATAACGCACGCACCCTGAGGACTGACGAGAAGATCCTGGAGCTGGAAGAAGAGATAGACAAGTTGCGCTGGAATATTATAGGATTATCTGAAATCCCAAGAGAGGGGGAGGACATGGTAATCCTCGAATCCGGCAACTTGTTCTATTTTATTGTAATGATTGAGTGTGTAGACGAGGGTTGCGTACCTTACGAGGAAATGTATGAGGATATATCTAGAGCCATGCATTCCTCCAAACCCCACGGTTTGGAGGAATGCATGGCTGTTAATGGGAGACTTCAGCGCAAAACTAGGCACAAGAGAGAACAATGAGCTGAAGGTAGGGCAATGGAACCCAAGGAGCCAGAAGCTGTCTGACTTCATTGAGAAAGAGGGACTCTTTATGATGAACTCTTTGTTCCAGAAACAGCTCCACAGGAAGTGAACCTGGTCAAGTCCCGATGGTTCGACAAAAAATGAGATTGACTTCATTATTACGACCAGACGAGTAATGTCTCAGTGATGGCGAGGGTGAAAACTGGTAGCGATCACCGTATGGCTAGAGACACACTGAACCTAAATGTTAAGTTGGAGAGGTCACATCTAATGAAGTCAACACTCCATACCCCTCGTGCTCTAATCCAAAGTCCGAAACTTTTCAGCTCGAGCTACAAAACTTTTTTCAGTGCCTAGATGATTACAATGCAGTGGACGATATGAATGACAAGCTCGTGAAAACTGTCCATGCGGTCGGAGCTAAGTTCTGCAATACCCGGCGCAGAAGAACACAAAAACTCTCCGAGCACACTCTTAAGGCAACTGAACAGACAGATCTCTAAATGCATGCGGCGGGATTTATGCAACTTCAATACAGCACGTATTGAAGACGCGATCGAGCGGAACCAGAGGTCCAAAGTCTTTGCTAGAGATCTGTCTGCCTGGCAGAGCAAACTGTCGAAGCTAAAGACCGAGTGTGACCGCGTCGTGTGTAACGATCCAAGAGCTAGTCTTATTTGACACTCTTTCGATGATATTTCGGACGTCAGTCTGAGCGAGATTAGAATGGCTCTCCAGCACCTTAAAAACGGCAAATCCTCATGCGAGGATGGACTTACAGCGGAGCTTCTGAAAGCGAGTGGAAAATCAGTACTAAAAGTCCTTGAGAAGCTCTTTAATTCAGTCCTCCATGGTGGCACCGGATGCGTGGAGCAGAAGTGCGGTGGTTTTGTTCTTCAAGAAAGGCGACAACGCTCTTTTGAAGAACTACAGACCGATTTCCCTTCTGAACCGCGTCTACGTGCTGTTTTCGAGAGTCATTATGAATCGTGTCTCACGCAGACTACGACTTCCAGCCTCCCGAACAAGCCTCCCGAAAAGGCTTTAACACCATAGACCACATACATACCCTTTGGCAAATTATACAGAAGTCCGAGGAGTACAATTTGCCACTATGTCTTGCATATGTGGACTATGAGAAAGCCTTTAATTCCGTCGAAATTTGGGCGGTGCTGCAATCAATATTTAAATTTTGTTAAAGAATGCTAGCAAATGAGTATTATTAATAACTATATGAATCTGGACAACGTTTCTTCCATACAAATTAACGTACTGTTACTGTTTCCTGGATAATGAGACTAAAATAAATATTATTTAACCATTGTTTTAAATTTCGGTCAAAGCTATCACCGCCACTGATGGGAAGCCTACCCGATTATCACCTGGTACTTCAGCGGTGCTAAGTGCACTGTCGGTATATCGAATGTTTGCTGAATGTGTACAGTAGGACTACGATGGCTATCCGAGTACAGAACCAGAGTATGAAAGTAGGTGTAAGACAAAGTGATGTTATTTCTCCGAAACTTCACCACTGCATTGGAAGACGTTTTCAAGCTACTGGACTGGAAAGGATACGGTATTAACTTCAATGGCGAGTACATCACTCACGTTCGATTTGCCGACGATAAAGTTCTTATGGCAGAATCGCTGAAGGACCTAAGAACTATGCTCAATGACCTAAATAGTGTTTTCCAACGGATAGGTCTTAAGATGAACATGGACAAAACAAAAGTCATGTGTAACGTCTATGTCACACCTATGCCAATAGTTGTTGGGGACACTAAGCTCAAAGTTGTTAACGAGTATGTTTACTTGGGACAAATAGTACGACTAGGTAAGTCCAGCTTCGACCAAGAGGTCAATCGGATTCAACTCGGCTGGACAGCGTTCGGGAAATTACGGCATATCTTCTCGTCAGGTATACCTCAAAACTTAAAAACTAGACTGCACAACCAGTGCGTGTTGCCCTATTGAGTGATGACCTATGGAACTGAAACATGGTCCTTCAGTTCTGGCCATATGAGGAAGCTCAAGGTTGCTCAGGGCGATGTGGAGAGGGCTACGCTCGGGGTTTCTCTGCGTGATAAACTTAGAAATGAGGATATAAGCAGTAGAACCAGAGTTACCGACATAGCCCAAAGGATTAGTAACCTGAAGTGGCAATGGGTCGGCCATATAGCTCGAAGAATCGACAACCGATGGGGAAAAAATGTTCTCGAGTGGCAGCCTCGTACCGGCGGACGAAGTGTAGGGCGTCCCCCCACTAGATAGAGTGACGACCTGGTAAGACATGCAGGAAGTCGATGGATACAGTATTTTATCGATATTTTTTTAAATTAAAAATTAAATTAAAATTAATACAGGTGGCTCAGGACCGTGCTTTGTGGCATTCCTTGGGGAAGGCCTAAGTTGAGCAGTGGACTTGTGAAGGGCTGTAATGATGATGATAAATGATGAATAATATCCGCCACTACCCCATATCATCCCGTGGGTGTTGTAGCAGCTTATTCCTAATGACAACTAAAAATAAAACGTGTGGTTGCTAAGCGTGGCAACTATGGCAAATATCCCCTCTATAGTTTTAATAGGTTATAACAGTAAAGAATAAGAATATACAGCGTTCAAGCACCAAACATTTAACTTTGTCTTTTAACTTATAAAATTTTGTATTTAATGTAGGAGAAAGTTGGTGGTGCTGAAGAAACAGAAGTAGTGTCAGAGGATGAGCTGCCAACGGTTCAGAAGCCAAGTGTAAAGGATGCTGAAAATGTATCTGATGATGAACTACCAGGACCTAAACCTGCTGAGCTTCCAGCTGACACTGAGGTATTTATGTAAAAACATTATTTTTAAATATTTTATTTAAATAATTATTAAAAATTGTCTTAAGGCTCTATTAGAATTGGAAGATTTTTTTAAATTTTTATCACATTTGGCAGTAACTTGAAATAAATATTTGAAATTTGTCTCAATATCATCAAAGTACAAATGAGGGTGGTTCAATAAGTTTATGTTGAAATCGCTTTTATGCATACACTTAATAAGTAATATAGTATAAACAACAAATTGGATCATTATTCAATAAGCTATTAGTGATAAAAAAAGCTAATTAGGAAGATGATAGGTAAATAAAAAACAATGAGTTTTGTTACAACATTATATTCCTAAATAGGGTAAACTTCCAAAAAACTTCATAAGTGATGTCCTCGGTCTAAAGAGACCCTTGCCTTAAAAAAAACCATGGCTTATCAGTGGCACAACCTCTAAGTAAGACATAAACTAACTTTAAAGACAACCCAAGGGCAGGACGGTGTGTCAATGCAACCATTTTGGATTTTTGTATAAAAATAGAGAAATTATTATTAAAAGAAGGAGATGTCCATTTAAAAAAGAAACAACTTGCAGAAGTTATTGAGAGTATCATATACAACCATTTGAATATCCTGTATGGTGCAGGTGCAGGTGTGTGGAAGATGGATGACAGAATACTAATATTGTATTTAAACCAGCAACAGTAGTTTTTTAGATTTTGTTATTAGAACAAGGAAGAAAGATGTTTTGGGTCGAATTGTTAATGTTACTGATGGCGAGGAGAGCCGCCGAACCGACACCACGCATGCCCCGTACTGCGACATTATCGTGCGACGTGTACCCAACCAATCAGTGCGTTTCAAGTCCGCGTGGGAGATCGTCGGCTGTGCGACTCCCGCCGTGGGAATATAAGGCCTGTACCTGGCTGGCGGAGACCGTTCGTGTCAAAGAAGAGCTTCAGACAAGAATAAAAATCAAGAAAGCAGAATAAGCAAGCAAATCCCCTATAGTGTAGAGTTTGATTACATGATTGAGTAATTGTCGTAATATTGTAAATAGTGAAACAAATTATTTCTTAAGTTGTCCCATCTTTAAATAAAACAGTCCAGCATAGTTTAATTTTTTAGAATTCTTCATCTAGTTGGTAACAGTTAACTCATTTCTCAGTTAGTCACTTATACAGTCCACAAAGAAGAAGTTATCAACATAACAAATTTCAGTCCACTTGCTCTTTCCGTTTTTGTCAGTTACCAAGGATGAAATTTGTGTTCATCTTATGAGTTTTTGTTAAGGCACGCCCCTAAATAGTTTGAGGTGTCCCAATCTGCTGAAAAACTCATGGCCTCATTTTTTTTGAATTCAGAAGGAATCTTCTTAACTGATTACAAAAACAAAGGTACAGAAATAAGATGTTATGAGAGAAAAACTGCATGAAAAATTTTGCAAAGGCATTCTACACGACGATACATCTGTGTACTGGGGGCATATTCTGATAGCTGCAGTATAAAGAATGTGCTTTAAAATTTTATAAATAAATTGCAATTTATGTTGAGGTCAAGAGCACAATTTCTGCCTATTTATGTGAAAGACGAATCATCTTTTTTCCAATGGCAATAATATTTAGAGAACCTTGACCTACATTTTACATAATATAGTTTAAAATAGCTTTAGCTGCATCAAGATAATTTAATGTTATTTTTTTTAATTTACAGGTAGTATCAGAAGATGAATTGCCTTCATCTAAAAAGGATTCCAAGGAGTCACGCAAAAGAAAACCAGACGAAGAAAGGGATGGCTACGATCCAGGTTCACCCACATCTGAAAATGAATCATCTAGTAAGAAGCAAGCTGTTGCGAAGGTTTGTCTTATCCGTAGTATTGCCATTAGGCTTCCGTGTGTATTATTTCTTTGTGATAAAATGATACGCCACTAAAGTAGACGGTTGTCATTTAAGAAACTACAGAACGAATATCAAATTTATGAGCGAGTGCTAATTTGAATGCCGGGCGTAGTAGCTGACTCACTGGTCGTGGCGGTCGGTCCAAGCCAACGGAACATCTGCATCTCGGATTTTCCATTGAACTAATAGACTAAAAAAAGTTAATGCTTACTAAGATTGCATTTTTAACTGACTGCCCCAAACGAAGAGCAAAGTTAAATATGTATCATTTGTATTTTGTATATAAAAATATATATTAATTATGTGACAGGTTTTGGATTTGATTTTTAATAATACTTTACTTGCTTACTGCTATGTCTAATTATATGCTTCAGACCGAATTTCAGTCACAGTAACTTGTTCCAAAGCGATCCATCTGCATAGTACATAAGTGTGTGTGCATCAAAGACATTTAAATAGTAGTAAAAGTGATTGCTTATATTTACGCGAAGACTACACATTAAATGAAACTAATTTTTACGGATTTTTTCGCGTTTAATTTAACTTTTTACTTCCTGACGTTTTGGGTGCTTTTTAGCACCCGTGGTCCCGGGAGGGACTGAGGTGTTTGACGTTCTGATGTCATAGTTAGCCCGGCTACCTTCAGTTTTTAAATATTTGGTCCGATCTACGCAGAATGAATTTATAGTATCTTGAAGTCGTGCAGTGGTATGCTTGGGTTTGGATTTAATTTTATTAATTATAGGATCCCAAGCAGATGGCAGCACCCATTCATCTTTTCTATTGAAATTAGGATGTTTTTTAATTTCAATAGCCTCGCGAATCATCCTTGGTAGGAATCGGTGTTCTTTTGCGAGGATTTGTGGTCTATCAAATCTAATGTAATGGTTGGGACAATCTTGAACATGTTCACACACTGCAGACTTCCCGGAACGTCGGTGCTGCAAGTCAGCTATATTGATTGATTGTGCTGAAAAGGACCTGAAACGTCGGGAAGTAAAAGTTAAATTAAACGCGAAAAAATCCGTAAAAATTAGTTTCATTTACTAGTAGTAATAGATTGGTCATCAGCAGCAAAATGGTCATCTGTAACTTTTGTCCTATAGGATATATTTCGGATATATGTCATTTAGTCTTCCTGACATTGTGAAAAGGTCAAGACGCATTCGTTTCATATATTTAAAAAATATCTTTTGAAGAAAATTTGCCTGATTGTACAATATTACTTTAGTAAATCCGAATATGGAGCAAAAACTGAATGTGATTTTGGTTTATTATCCCAAGTATAATGTATATTTACCCAATAATTTTTAAATTTCATAATTTCTAGGTAGATTAGTCTAGAACATTTATCATTATTGTAATAAGCACCCTCTGTTATCCAGTAACGTCACTCTCTATTTATCAAATGAGTTGGGATTGACAATGTTTAACGATTAGTGTTACCAATAAAAATATTATACAGGCTGCCAATTTAATCATCTACAATATTTAAGGAGGTGAAACAGTAAACAATACTGTACCCATACCAATATAGAAATCGGGTGCGCCTGTGTCGGGGTACACGGCTCTTGGTTTTAACGTGAAACGTCTATGTCAGCCAGTACAACCAGTCAACAAGATACCCTTCTTCTTAAATATTTTAATACAAATTGGTGGCTGGAATAGTCTGAACAATTTCTCAGAGCACTCCCTGTGGTAAATACGATAGCAAAAGCAAAGAAATACAACATTTCTATGCAGCGTCAGTCAGTCGAGCCAATCAATGAGAACTCGGTCGTCGACGATTCGGACTGCTCTGCGCTGTATTCGGTCAAGTGGAAGGAGCTCACACCGAAGATCCCCGGCCCAGAGATTATAACAGTATTCCATGTGAGGCCGAACCTGTGCCTTGTAAAATTGCAAACAGTGTGTTGGCATGAAATACTGTCCCGCACTGCTGAGTACGCCAAGCTTTTCAGTAGCCAATTTAGCTTTCTCTTCCAAGTGACCACGACACTGCAGGTAATTCAATATGTCGATGCCGAAGATTCTGATAATGGCTACGGCAACAAGGGAGTGCCCTGAAATTGAGGAGATATGACAAAGGGGTTATTTTTAGCGGTAAACGCGGAAGCTTGTGAATGAATTGTATAATGTTTTTTCGTCTAACGAGAATATGTTAAGATTTAAAGTGTATTTTAGTTAGGAACGAATTTCATAAACATGGAGGCGCTCTCTTATTGGATTTGACGTTTCTCGATGTGCCTAACGCTACGCTAACCGACCAATCATATGCTACTATTATAGCGTCTAATGGACCGAGTGACGTTATCCAAGAATCCACCAATGTGACTGCTGTTTGAATTGATTCTTAGTTATTGGAAATTAAATATTTTATTTCATGACACTAAAATGACGTATAAAAGATTATATGATATTTTTGGTGTGATGGGAGTCATAAGAAATAGATTTATAGACTAAAACAATCGTGGATATTCCCTATTAATATATAGTAAAACATTTCAAACTTAGTAAAGAAAAATGAAGAGCTCGCAAACTTTTTTAATTTAATTTTATATTTAGGATCAATTTTCTTCCAGGGTCCTTCTCATCATATTATCATTCTTATCCATATCTTTCTTCAAACCTAATCAGCAAGCATGTTTATGATCTCTAGACAAACAAGGCAATTTTTACTGACTTCTAAATCTAGGAACATGTTGGCAGGGTAACTGTTATTATTTGTTAATGTTATTTAAATGTACTGACTCTGGCATTATTTTCTACGACAGAATGGCGAAAGTAAACCAGTGCCTGTAGAAAAAAGGTTATCAGTGGACGAGAAACCAAAAAAGAAAACTTTACCAGAGCTGGACAAATATTGGAAAGTTGTTAATGATGACCCCACTGATTTCACAGGATGGACTTATTTGCTACAATATGTAGATCAAGAGGTATGTTTCGCTATGACATTTTTAAAGTAAAAATCTCTAGAGTGATAGGATATCTCATCTAGTATATTATCAATATGTCTAAAAAAAGGTAGTGCATCACTATTTTAGCATGTGAATTATGAAAACTATTTGTTGTTATAAATATGAATGTATGAATATGAAGAAAATTTATAGACAATGGACTTCTGCAATAAAGTAGTGACAGGATATTAACTATGAATATTATCATGATGATTATTATCCTAGTTAAAACTTCTACTTTTAGTCTATGGAAGTCCACTACTGCTGCACCTTTCCCGTTTTAGAGAGAATTAGCTTTGATCGTCGCACTTAGCAGGCGAATTGACAATTGCAGTACCAGATGTTTCACATCTTCAACACTACACCCCTTTGCCAGTCTGGTTCTTTTCTGATATCAAAAGATCTTTCTGGCATTTCCGAAAGTCGGCCTTTTATGACGCTACCACGGAGCAAATACAAAGAGGTGTTGTAATTAGATTTCACTATGTAACAACACATGTCAATTTGCAGGGTGAGGGGGTGTTAAGCCCCGCCCACTTAACTATTTCCATCTACTGATAAATAGTAAAACTACTCGCATCGTTCCATATCGATATTGCAATGTAGTTTAGCTACTTTGACGACAGATGGCGGCCTGTTCACAATATGATTGTAAAAACTATAAAAATAATATTTTGGCGATTAAAAATTATTTAGGACTGAATGCAAAACAAATTACAGCACCTTCGTATGATTATTTTACCAATACTGAGCACTACGTACCTTTATATTTTTAGTTCCCATGACACAAAGTGTTGCCATCTAGTGTCGAATATATTTAATTACATTTGAAAGCCGACGCAGAGATTTTTCTAGAACTATTGTAATAAAAAATTACTAACAAATTAAATCTGATGCCATCCATAGCATCAGAGCGTCTACCTGAGTAGTTTTTACACATTAAAACACAGCACTTCATCCTTTTCTTCTTAATACCACGAAAATACACTGATTTGCGATTTTCGACACATAAGCGCACAGGACGGACGCTGACAGTATATTAACTAAAGCCATACCCACTGTGATGACGTCAGGACCTAGTTAGAATCACAGTGCACAGTTGCTTAGGCCATCTCCTCTTTGTATTTGCTCCGTGGACGTTACCCATGGGATGAATGAGGTAATGGATTTTCTTACGTTTTCATTACATGGTCAATATCAAATTAGTATAATGATGAATGACATGTCTGTTGTTAACAATATCATTAAATTATAACAATCAATGTTTTTATTGCATGATGACAAATATTGCTAATCTTATTGCTTTATGAAGCAATGAGAACTGAATCGTTCCTGTCGATTGGCAAGGGCCAACTGAATGTGTACATGTGTTTTATTACATTAAACGTTACTGAATTATATCTTATTTTAACTTCAACTTTAAATATTATTTTTGTAGAGTGATGTGGAAGCTGCGCGAGAAGCTTATGATGCCTTCTTGTCGCATTATCCATATTGTTACGGATATTGGAGGAAATACGCCGATTATGAAAAACGTAAAGGAAGTAAAAAGAAGTGCCTTGAGGTGAGTGGCCTTTGTAAAATACAGTTGTATAAATATTTAAGGTACATTTTTTGGTGAGTTTATATAGAAATAAATTTAAATAAAATTCACTTGATTGTGACATAACACATGGATTTTCAATTGTTTTAGTTATAATTGGTATTGTGCAATTATTTTTTTTCCCAACAGTGCATCGAGGCCAACGATGTTCATATGGCAAAGTCGTCCGTTCGCATCGGAGAGTTATATTACCTTCACATAGATTTTGTTTTAGTGGTTCATTTTTTGTGGTGTATAATTTGTATTCTAGTGAATAAGTTTATGATGTGTACTCGACTGATGTATTGTAATATTTTTTAATGTATATTAATTAAGTTCGTATGTTATGCATTGGACATACTTAAGAGAATTTAATGACTAATCCATGTTAGCATGGAGCGACACAGGTCACCGTTTTTAGCCATTGAGTTAGCGATGGACGAGGCCGGCGAAGGGAAGAGTGCTTCAACGACCGGCGAGTGTGAACAGGTGTAATATGCCCGACAAACATTTTATATACTTTAGATGCAGGTGAGACGTTTTGAGAGCTCTTGTGGGTATTCCGCTGCGATCCAACGTCTCACTTCATCATTTTCGAAATTATATGAGACAATATAATGCTATTCAATATTCCCTTGCTTTCATAGTGTTGTCGTCGTAACGGCAATGCTCTGGTTCCCTCGGAGCAATTTTGATCATTTAGCAATGTTTCAGGTTTTGGAAAGAGGACTCAAAGCTATACCACTTTCTGTAGATTTATGGATACATTACCTGAATCATATAAAAGCTACTAGAACTGAAGATCTTGCTTTCATTAGATCACAGTATGAGAGGGCTATTGGTAAGTAATTTTGATTCTCTTTGAAAATATTAACAAAGTTTGGTTTATTTTATTATAAAAAATTATGCTAAATTTTACGCTCTCTTTATCTTTTTGTAGAGGCCTGCGGATTGGAGTTCCGTTCTGATCGATTATGGGAGTCTTACATCAAGTGGGAAGCAGAGAATGGTACTGCTCTTAATGTGACAAACATCTACGACAGATTACTGGCCACCCCTACACTTGGGTATACTTCACATTTTGATAAGTAAGTCTCTTTAGTGTTTGTATGTGTATGTAATAAAATTTACCGGTACCGGAAGGCGATGTGTAGGGCGACCCCCTACTAAAAAGAGTGACGACCTCGTAAGACATGCAGGAAGTCGATGGATGCAGTTTGCTCAGGACCGTGCTTTGTGGCATTCCGTAGTAGAGCTATGTTCAACAAAGGACTTGAGAAGGGCTGTAATGATGATGAATAAAATTTATTTATAAAATATATTAATAATTAAAATCAATTTCATCTCTCCAGTACAATATAAGATGGAAGTAGATTGCAAAAAAATCAAAATGTGTAACTTCTTAAATACGCATGTTATATAAATATAAAAACTGCTTTTATCTATGGCAAAATATATTTAAAAAAAATGAATTTTTGTATTTTCGAATGAAAATGATAAAAATAATTTTGTAGAGTGGCAATAGAGATGTACTGACCTGTATGTATGTACCTGTATAATTGTTAAGAGAAAAATGCTTGATTTGTTATTAGTTGAAACCATCATTTTTACCGGGTATTAGTGAAACGCTCCCGAAAACGAAGACAGACGATAGTACTAACGATACCTTTGATGATGAGGCAGAAAGAAATTCGATCCCGCGGAAAAAATCATCTTTTCACAACGTTTTATTAACTTTATTCATGCTCCATCATGTTAGTACAGCTAAATGAAACGATAATTTCATAAAAAAAATCATGAAAATACTTAAACATAAAACCAGCATTGGAATTACAATCAACTGACTTGGAGTCAAAGTACGCGCGGTCCGCAGCTACGATGGTACTACAATGAAACAGCTTACCGATCTAATTCCTCCGTGGCCTTATGAGATTCTCCAAGGCACATTAACATGTTGCCGTATTCAAGAGCACTATAAACGTACCTACTCGTTAGGCATTATTAAAACAAAACGAGAAACACAAAACGTAAAAACAAGAATATTAACAACAAGAATTTAATAAATAAAACGGTTGAACAGTCGCTCACGCGCACGTGTTAGTCAACACAGAACTGTCTCAAAAACTAAAATTAATAATCAATCTCGCCTAAAACAAATGCCTCGTGCGTCGTAACGTCCTCGAAGCACTGAGCATTTCCACAGACCGTTAAACCGTTACGACATTGCCTACGTTTATTTTATTTATAAGTTTAGTTATCCCTACGGCTAGTCTTCATATTATACCCTGACGCAACAAGCAGTTCTTTACTACAAAAATTATATTGAAATTAATAAATTGGGTACTCAGTACTCACTTACACAATTATAAACACTATTTCATCGTTATCTTTGATTTTGTATAAGAAAATAGAAATGAAATGGTACTGATTTATTTAATAGTTAAATTCAATTGCAATTATGATCGACAGTTAATTTATCAGAATTAATGTAAAAAATAAACTTTTATTTATTTTAATTGACTCCGTATTTAATCCGATCAATACTTTTAAATTTAAAAAGAGGTACGCCAAAATTATTAAAAATTACTTTCAAGTTTTAGTAGGAAAATTTCGGTGCAGCGTGGCAGCGTTGCCAACACCAATTTGTCAAATTCCTCGAAAATTCATGTCAAGTTCCCCAATTTAAGGACAAAACTTCAATAGATTCCATTCAAATTCCCCTCAATTTTATTTTAAGAATTTTCAACTAATTTTATAAGATTTACTTTGTAACTACCATTTTGTTTTCTTTAAAATTAAAAAGTAAAGAAATGAAAAGCCTTAAATGATACACAAAAGTTGCCGATATAAATCCAAAAATTAAATATGGGGCAATGATTATAATGAAAAAATCGGTTGTCTGTAAAGTCGGTTTACTGACGATAGTTGAACGTGACAACGTCATAAGAAAATACACATGTAAATGTATTTATAGCAGCTGTCCATGCGGACGCATCGCTCACTAAAGTAGGAGAGAGAGATGTCGAACGCTGCCGAACGCGGAGGCCGATTATGCCTCTTTGTCGCTCGTTCCGCGCTCTCGCTTGCGCTTCAAGCCTTAAATGGTAACGCCGCATGAGTCATGTTTTTTCGTGCGTGTAGCTAGCTTCATCGAATTATAAGACGTTGTCACGTCAAAAAAGGGTCATTCGATTTTCATAAGTAACCTAACAAAATGTTAAGATAAGTATTTAGATTTCTTGAAAAAAGTTTCTGACTTGGTCCTGGCTATCGTTTTTCAAAATCCCCGTATTTTCCCCGCAATTTTGGTAATTCCCCACATGTTGGCAAAGCAGACATCTGTAAATTTCACAGCGCGAGGCGACATGAGTCCGCCGGGCGGTGCTAGCGTGTGTGAAAGGGAAGGGTAGAGTAAGTAGGCATTGCTTCGCACCGAGCTAGATAAGAGTACGACGTCCGCGAGAATATTGAGCATAGGGTCAATATTCTCGCGGACGTCGAACTTGTCTGATGTATGCGGAAAGTCAGCTGATTTTATTTTAAGTTTCACTGCTGGTTTTTAAGTATTTTCATGATATTTTTTTATGAAATTATCGTTTCATTTAGCTGTACTAACATGATGGAGCGTGAATAAAGTTAATAAAACGTTGCAAAAAGATGATTTTTTTTCCTCGGGATCGAATTTCTTTCTGGTCCATCATCGAAAGCCAAGGTCCGTTTTCGGGAGCGTTTCACTAACACCCGGTATAAAATAGAAATGATTTTAATTTAATTTTTTCATCATATTTATTTTCATTTTTAACCCATTAACAAAGCGGGAGGTTATCACTCGACTGTATTTTCTTTTTTTAATGTACATACCAATATCTGAGAGAGTAGTTAACCAATTGGTGATTTTTATCTTTACTGAATAGAGGCATATCAATTTTATTGAGATAAACCTATTTAAATTGGTTTAAATACTTCAATTATTGAGGTTAAGACATGATAAGTGTTATAGGAAAACTTACAGTTCAGTATTTTACAAATAAAGTATATAAGAAAGAAACAATTCAATATTAAATAGAAGATTGAATTAACTCTTAATATTGAATGAAATCTATTTTTCATATACTAAGGTAGATTTCTTCAGGTACATTTACACAACTAAAAATATATTAGTCTGTGAAGATGCGCCCACTCTTTGTCGTTACAGTTCAGATGTACATTATAAATTATTATTTTGTTAGTACTTCCATATGTGCATATTACATTATTATAAATTATCAACTAACGCGAAAAATATTGTATACCCACATAACATAGTTTTTTTTTTTATATACAAGGTAAGTGGATGCTGTGGCCCATAAACATTTACATCTATTCTCGATTAAGAATCAAAATTGCAGATGCGCATTGTCACTCCTGAGGACTAAGATGGAATGCTTCTTTTGCAGTAAAAGAGTCTTCACTGTACGAAACAGTAGCATTAACACGTTAGATGTGGCATTACAATTACGAATCTTTCGGCTAGTACATATCATAAATTACTTGTAAGCAATTTTTTCATAGTGTATTATCTTACAGTTGGGATTTGTAACTAGTACTCGATATATTGTCTAATAAGTTTGTATAACCAGATAGTTATTTGACCAAAACCTGGCGTCGTCACAGAATATCACTATTACTTTATGAATAAAAAGGCGTTTTAATTACTTACTAAAAATGTCTTGTATCGCAACACAGGAGAGGGTTTATTTAAATGTATCGATGAATCTATAGTGAGGAGTACAAAAATATAGTTATCGACAATTATGAGTATGTTTAGGCCCAAACATGGGCATTTGAAACGCCATCCAATCGCGTTTGACTAAGCGCATCGCCCTATGGTGTGAGGTGTGGTGCGCGCCGGCGGGGGGGGGGGGGCAGCGGTATGCCGCTTCCCGGCGTTCTGCCTCGTGGGCCGCTGCTGTCAAGCTACTGTTAGCAACAGTAGCTTGACAGCAGCGGCTCTGTCGACTAGCGAATTTTTGTGACCGCTGCATCGGTTTCGCGCGGCCTGTTTTTTGTTTTGATGGTCTAGAATTTGAGTATTTGTGCGCGTTTAATTTACTATTAAATTTGGGTTTCGTGTAGTCCGCTTCGAATTAGTTTGTCTAAGTTGTACGTTTCGTGACAAGAGGCTTGTATTGAATTTGAGTGATTAAAGTAATTTCGTTGCAAGTAATTACGTCAATTGTATAGTGATTGCATGTTGAAGTGCATTTTGCAATATTTAACTTGCTTGTGTGACGTGGAACCTTGCGCGCACGCCGAGTGGACAGACGGTCTGGAATTTGATGCTCGCATTCCATTTCGAGGGCGTAGCCTGGTTAATTGTTTTTGGAACGTCGCGTTAAGTGCCTTTTGTGTGTTGACTATTTAGTTAGTTTCGCGTGTCAGCGAGGCTGATTTTGAGTTCTTATTGCGGGCGTAGTATTTAATATCGTACGAAAAAATTTAGTTTGTTGTTTGGGAACGCTGAACTTTGAGACTCGAGAAAAGGCTACGTTCGATCCCGTGTTTGTAAATTTGTGCTACGTGAACCCGGAACCTTGAATATTGAACTTTGAACGACGGTTTGTTACTTGTGTCGTGTGTCACTTGTTTTAATTTCGAAGAACGTTGAGTTGGTTGACTTTGAATTTAATTAAATGTAAAATTAAGTGGATACAGCGAGGCTGATTTTGAGTTCTTATTGCGGGCGTAGTATTTAATATCGTACGAAAGAATTTAGTTTGTTGTTTGGGAACGCTGAACTTTGAGACTCGAGAAAAGGCTACGTTCGATCCCGTGTTTGTAAATTTGTGCTACGTGAACCCGGAACCTTGAATATTGAACTTTAAACGACGGTTTGTAACTTGTGTCGTGTGTCACTTGTTTTAATTTCGAAGAACGTTGAGTTGGTTGACTTTGCATTTAATTAAATGTAAAATTAAGTGGATAAACTGAAATAGTGAAATGAAGTCAGCAGCTGTCAAGTCGTGACGTCCGCTGGAGTGATACCACATCGTGGGGCAGCATCGGACCAGGCCGCTGCCCGATCACCTCAGTTAGGTCAGGTCACACATACACACCTTCTAACATACCACTTACATGCACCTACCTATCGCCTGACCGAGCCTTGGGGTCAGTCTTAGCTTCGGAACCAGGTACGTTCTTATTAATTACCTAGCCTTATATCTATAGTGTAGAATAATAAGTCTCCATAGGCCGTTGGGCCCCGTCCTTTGTTGCCCGTCGATTGGATTACTGATGGGCCCTAGTCCAGTCCAACTTTGTTGGGGCAGCTCAGGGCGTGTACAGAGTATATTGTTTTTTTTTTAAATTAATTTGTATGACAATCATTGAAACATTCTAAACATACCGTTTTATCACATTTTTCACAAATTTATTTTAACTCTTCTCACTTTTTAGGGTTCCGTACCTAAAGGGTTTGCACGAATTGTTCCACACAGCATCGACATATAATATTTAAGCAAGTCTTCAGCTAGACCTATGGACGTGTAGAAATTATTGGCTATTACGATTCTACCCTCTTATTCAAGTCCTTCAATCAGTTATTTGACTGTTTCACTTCCGTGAGGTTTATTAATTTTCAATTACTTCTTTACCTGTATAAACAATTATTTAATAAGTGTAGCCCTTGGGCGTACATAACTTGTTTAATTTTATTCCATATTAATTAGCTTTATTTTTTATAAACTGTCTGAATGCTCTCCACGGTACCATGGTTTCGTCAATCAATTTATTCAAAATAATTGTTAACACTTCTCTTATTTTACTCAATTTGTTTGTATTTTTATCTATTTGATTGTCACTAAAATGCCAAAACTTTAGTAATAATAAAAGTCTATCTCTCGTCATCGAAAGAGCAATGTAATCATTGTGGTAGTTTTTTTTTCTTTGACCAATAGTAGCTAATACTTGGAACTTTTGTTAGAGCCATTGATATTAAGATTACCATAAAAATACACATTTCATCATACTCAGCTGGCCTCCAAAATTTTGCTCTAGATTTATTTTTAAGTGTTGCAGAAGCAATACACTTTTGAGCGTATTTGTTGGTCTCCATAACCAGAGTGTTTATAATATCATCAGTTACGATTAATTTATAAACATCAATAGGAGTTATAACATCTGGTAGAATAATAATTTTAAATGTGTCTGAAAACTCTTCCACATCTGGCTCATAAGTTGAAAAATGAATTATCCATTCGTCTGCATCGTTAAAAAAAAAAAAGATCTAGATCATTTATATGATTCTTCACACCTGAGCTACTAGAAATTTCACTATCAGAGATGTTTGAACAAGGATCCTCACTTTTTGAGCGAGATTTAGTTAGACAGTAGTCAGAGTCATCATAGCTAATAGTTGGAGAACAATTTTATACAAATCAGATGCAGATGTTATCGCATGATGTACAATAATTAGGGGCAGATACTAAATGATCGTTAGAGTTAGTTGCTAGACGATTATTCGAGTCATATTTTGAAAGACTAATTAGGTCCTTTTCTATATTACTATGTGCAGGTTGTGGTGTAGAAAGATTTTCATCGTCATCAAAAGTTGTACACGGTATCAAAGATTTCCTGCAACATGGTTCAGTTTTGAATAATCAATAGGAGTAATTTATTTAATGATTTCTTATATTTACGCGAACACTACACATTTAAATAAAACTAATTTTACGGATTTTATCGCGTATATTAACTTATTTTATATTCCCGACGTTTCGAGCACTTTCCAGCACCCATGGTCACGGGGGGGGGGGGGACTGAGGTTTATGACGTCCCAATGTCATAGTTAACTACGACTACCTCCAGATTAAAAAATTATTAATTTTTGTTCCGAACTTATAGTATCGTGAAGTGTTGCAATTGTATGCGTGGGTTGGGATATTATTTTATTAATTATGGGATCCCAAGCAGATGGTAGCACCCAGCCATCTTCTCTATTGAAATTAGGATGTTTTTTGATTTCAATAGCCTCGCGAATCATTCTTGGAAGGAATCGGTGTTCTTTGGCGAGGATTTGTGGTATATCAAATCTAATGTAGTGACGGGGGCGATCCTGTACATGTTCACAGACTGCAGACTTCCCGGAGCGTCGATTCTTCACATCGCCTATGTGTCCTTTAACGCGGGTTTTTATGGATCTTTTAGTTTGTCCTATATAAGAGAGACCACATTCACAATCAAGCTTGTACACTCCTGCATCTTGCAGAGGAATATTACACTTGACTAATGGTTAAAACTGACTAATCTTCTTCGGCGGCTTGAAGTATGTTTTAATGGAAGCACGCTTCAAGACAAGTGACAACGCATCTGCATTTTGATTCTTAATCGAGTATAAATGTAGATGTCTGTGGGTCACAGCATCCACTTACACCATCAGGTGGATTGTGTGCTCGTTTGTCACCTATCCCCTTTTTTGACCCTTAATTATAAAATTGCGATTATCAATTACTAGGTCCCGCCCCCTTGTCTTCAAATACTTTTTGCAATATTAGCCGAGATCTCTTCATTTTGTGAGCACTCATCTTTCGCAGTAAAACTATCGATCATGCGTCGCAAACAGTACGCTACGATCGCCGCCTTAACACGTATTGACAGGTTCACGTGGTGCGGTACAAGGCCGTAGCATACAAGACAATTTTGACCAGTACCGAAAGTAACAAACACAAACGTTGTCTTTTATATAGAATATTTATAAGATATCACTTTCGCACCAAAGAGATATACCCAGATTTTAGTTTAAATGGTCTTGTATCGGATTTAACGTGTCAGCTGCTATTTAACGCTGATATTCTGTGCGAGCGCGATCCTTCCCCGGTGGAGCCGGTCCATACGTGCTACAACTAGCTGCAGCATGGTTCTCTACATACAAAATAATGGGACGCGTCTTTTAAGATCGGACTATTTTTGTTCTATTTATTCGTTCTATAAGTCTCAAACATAGTATACTGTGATAAAAACTTATTAGTAAAGAATGATGATTGCTGCTGGTGCCTTAATTAAGATGTTGTGACGAATTGATTCATTGTATTGGGAAGACGAATAGGTATGAAGTGCAATATCATAATGTACGTTTGTGTTTTTTGACAGCTTCCAAGAGCACGTGATGTCGGAGCCGGTGGCGGGCGTGGTGACGCGCGCGGAGCTTGTGCGGCTGCGCGGCGAGGTGCGCGAGAGCAGCGGCGCGCAGCCGCAGCTGGACCTGCCGCCCGGCGAGGACGAGCCGCTCGACCACATCGTGAGTACCCAGCGCTGCCGGTGCGCGAGAGCAGCGGCGCGCAGCCGCAGTTGGACCTGCCGCCCGGCGAGGACGAGCCGCTCGACCACATCGTGAGTACCCAGCGCTGCCGGTGCGCGAGAGCAGCGGCGCGCAGCCGCAGCTGGACCTGCCGCCCGGCGAGGACGAGCCGCTCGACCACATCGTGAGTACCCAGCGCTGCCGGTGCGCGAGAGCAGCGGCGCGCAGCCGCAGCTGGACCTGCCGCCCGGCGAGGACGAGCCGCTCGACCACATCGTGAGTACCCAGCGCTGCCGGTGCGCGAGAGCAGCGGCGCGCAGCCGCAGCTGGACCTGCCGCCCGGCGAGGACGAGCCGCTCGACCACATCGTGAGTACCCAGCGCTGCCGGTGCGCGAGAGCAGCGGCGCGCAGCCGCAGCTGGACCTGCCGCCCGGCGAGGACGAGCCGCTCGACCACATCGTGAGTACCCAGCGCTGCCGGTGCGCGAGAGCAGCGGCGCGCAGCCGCAGCTGGACCTGCCGCCCGGCGAGGACGAGCCGCTCGACCACATCGTGAGTACCCAGCGCTGCCGGTGCGCGAGAGCAGCGGCGCGCAGCCGCAGCTGGACCTGCCGCCCGGCGAGGACGAGCCGCTCGACCACATCGTGAGTACCCAGCGCTGCCGGTGCGCGAGAGCAGCGGCGCGCAGCCGCAGCTGGACCTGCCGCCCGGCGAGGACGAGCCGCTCGACCACATCGTGAGTACCCAGCGCTGCCGGTGCGCGAGAGCAGCGGCGCGCAGCCGCAGCTGGACCTGCCGCCCGGCGAGGACGAGCCGCTCGACCACATCGTGAGTACCCAGCGCTGCCGGTGCGCGAGAGCAGCGGCGCGCAGCCGCAGCTGGACCTGCCGCCCGGCGAGGACGAGCCGCTCGACCACATCGTGAGTACCCAGCGCTGCCGGTGCGCGAGAGCAGCGGCGCGCAGCCGCAGCTGGACCTGCCGCCCGGCGAGGACGAGCCGCTCGACCACATCGTGAGTACCCAGCGCTGCCGGTGCGCGAGAGCAGCGGCGCGCAGCCGCAGCTGGACCTGCCGCCCGGCGAGGACGAGCCGCTCGACCACATCGTGAGTACCCAGCGCTGCCGGTGCGCGAGAGCAGCGGCGCGCAGCCGCAGCTGGACCTGCCGCCCGGCGAGGACGAGCCGCTCGACCACATCGTGAGTACCCAGCGCTGCCGGTGCGCGAGAGCAGCGGCGCGCAGCCGCAGCTGGACCTGCCGCCCGGCGAGGACGAGCCGCTCGACCACATCGTGAGTACCCAGCGCTGCCGGTGCGCGAGAGCAGCGGCGCGCAGCCGCAGCTGGACCTGCCGCCCGGCGAGGACGAGCCGCTCGACCACATCGTGAGTACCCAGCGCTGCCGGTGCGCGAGAGCAGCGGCGCGCAGCCGCAGCTGGACCTGCCGCCCGGCGAGGACGAGCCGCTCGACCACATCGTGAGTACCCAGCGCTGCCGGTGCGCGAGAGCAGCGGCGCGCAGCCGCAGCTGGACCTGCCGCCCGGCGAGGACGAGCCGCTCGACCACATCGTGAGTACCCAGCGCTGCCGGTGCGCGAGAGCAGCGGCGCGCAGCCGCAGCTGGACCTGCCGCCCGGCGAGGACGAGCCGCTCGACCACATCGTGAGTACCCAGCGCTGCCGGTGCGCGAGAGCAGCGGCGCGCAGCCGCAGCTGGACCTGCCGCCCGGCGAGGACGAGCCGCTCGACCACATCGTGAGTACCCAGCGCTGCCGGTGCGCGAGAGCAGCGGCGCGCAGCCGCAGCTGGACCTGCCGCCCGGCGAGGACGAGCCGCTCGACCACATCGTGAGTACCCAGCGCTGCCGGTGCGCGAGAGCAGCGGCGCGCAGCCGCAGCTGGACCTGCCGCCCGGCGAGGACGAGCCGCTCGACCACATCGTGAGTACCCAGCGCTGCCGGTGCGCGAGAGCAGCGGCGCGCAGCCGCAGCTGGACCTGCCGCCCGGCGAGGACGAGCCGCTCGACCACATCGTGAGTACCCAGCGCTGCCGGTGCGCGAGAGCAGCGGCGCGCAGCCGCAGCTGGACCTGCCGCCCGGCGAGGACGAGCCGCTCGACCACATCGTGAGTACCCAGCGCTGCCGGTGCGCGAGAGCAGCGGCGCGCAGCCGCAGCTGGACCTGCCGCCCGGCGAGGACGAGCCGCTCGACCACATCGTGAGTACCCAGCGCTGCCGGTGCGCGAGAGCAGCGGCGCGCAGCCGCAGTTGGACCTGCCGCCCGGCGAGGACGAGCCGCTCGACCACATCGTGAGTACCCAGCGCTGCCGGTGCGCGAGAGCAGCGGCGCGCAGCCGCAGCTGGACCTGCCGCCCGGCGAGGACGAGCCGCTCGACCACATCGTGAGTACCCAGCGCTGCCGGTGCGCGAGAGCAGCGGCGCGCAGCCGCAGCTGGACCTGCCGCCCGGCGAGGACGAGCCGCTCGACCACATCGTGAGTACCCAGCGCTGCCGGTGCGCGAGAGCAGCGGCGCGCAGCCGCAGCTGGACCTGCCGCCCGGCGAGGACGAGCCGCTCGACCACATCGTGAGTACCCAGCGCTGCCGGTGCGCGAGAGCAGCGGCGCGCAGCCGCAGCTGGACCTGCCGCCCGGCGAGGACGAGCCGCTCGACCACATCGTGAGTACCCAGCGCTGCCGGTGCGCGAGAGCAGCGGCGCGAAACTTTGTTCAGAAAAGTCTCGACTTCAGACAGAAGTTTGTTCCGGTACTCGACGACGTGTTCCCGAGATATATAGCGCAGTCGGTGTGTAAGGCAACAAGAAGATCACCAGCTGAGCGATCCGGACGGAAACCATACTAGCCGTCACTAATCAGCTGGTGCTCCTCAAGTTTCCGCATAAGCTGGCAGTTAATATTGGATTCCATTATTTTCGAGAACAAGGAAGTGATGGCGATAGGCCTGTAGTTAGACGGATCACAGCGGTTACCTGTTTTAGGGATCGGGTGCACGAATGTTGTCTTCCATGAATTCGGGACTACGCCTAGGGAGTAGGAGTACTGGAAAAGATGCGACCTTGATGCAGGAAGACATGGAAAGCCGTGTGCAGGTGCTTTGACACGTAGTAGGGTCTACTGGATCTGGCGTGCCAAGATTTGGTTGTGGCGTCAGCTTTCCTTATGTGAGAGGAGTCTGCTTACGATGCTGCTCGTATCTATATTATTTCATAAAATATGTCTCGTATAATTTTTTTATTGATTTTTGTTGGTTAACTTGAAATTGTATTGGTTAGGTTTTGACTTATTCAACTGAATAAAATGTGATTTTACTAAGTTATTTTTAAAATTGTATGAACAGCAGTCGCGCGGAAGACCAACGATGCAGTCGGCAAGGAAAATGCGCGGCGGCAGTATTGTAATTAAGCTTGCGTGCGTTGGCCATGTGCCGAAATTATTACAGTGCACTTCCTCGCCTGTGGCGTTCAATAAACTACTTTGTTATGATAAGAAATTTCCCTTGTATTTTAACTAGCTTTGTATGATTAGCTACAACCCTTAATTGAGTAGATATTTTAAGAACGGCCAAAAAGCCATTTTTATCCCAGGTTATTTTTATAGAAAATCAATATAGGCTTCATCTATAGACCGCCTCACATTTGTTAGTTTACAAGCTTGGCAGGTGCGTTAGCAACCACATTTTTTTTATTATTTTGAATTGTTATCAGGAAGACGCTGCTGCCCATTTTCCTGATTTAGTTTGCCTCTGTCGCCTAAAATCTTTATGACACCCATTCTTTCACGTCACTACACGGCGAAAGTACCTATAGAATTGCTACTATGCAGTTAAGGTAATAAGTATGTGATTGTTAAATATTTTAAAACTGACTTTTAATTTATTTAGGCTTCAGAGGAAGAAGCTCAGGCGATCAAAGAGCGGATAATTGCAGCCAGAAGGAAAGTACACAAAACTACTGGTGAGGAAGTAGCTGCTCGTTGGACCTTTGAGGAAGGCGTAAGTGTTTGAATAACGATATTATTAATTAAATAAAACTAATTTTTACGGATTTTATTGCGTTACGTTGACGCCATTTTGACAGTCGACATTATCTATACAAATAAATAAAATTGAAGTGTCTGTTTGTAATGTCAAAATTACAGCTTTTTACTAAATAAATATGAAAGTATATACGATACTAATAACAAAAATACAATTTTTAAAGTTTTTGTCTGTCTATCTGTCTGTCTGTCCGTCTGTCTGTCTGTTTGTTCCGGCTAATCTCCGAAACGGCTGAACCGATTTTGACAGGATTTTCACTGGCAGATGCTGATGTCACAAGGAGTAACTTAGGCTACTTTTATTTTAGAAAATGAATTAGAGTTCCGCGCAAAAAAATTATAACCCCAAACAACACGCGGGCGAAGTCGCGGGGAACAGCTAGTAGTAAATATTTTAGTCGATTTTAGTATTGTGTAGTGTAGTTAATTTTTTTAAGAAAATTTTTCGAAGTGTTCTTAATTATTGCCAAAGCTTGTTTGCTATTTTTTTTCTTAATATGTATATATATTGTGTTTGTTCTCCTCCTAGTTTTGGTTTTATAGGACGGCAAAGCTTAAGTTCACCCTCACGTTCCTTACTATTAAACTATATTATTATTCACCCTTATTCTATAAAACTTAACTATAAAGGTTTTTAAAGTTGAAGCGAAGAAAGAACGGTAAAATCTGCAAATTAATTGCAGAAATGACTACCGACGAAGTTAACGCCATAAATCTGCACTTATTTTGTATTTTAAATTTGTGAAACTTATTAAGGACAATTTAATAGATCTATGTTAACTTATTTTTAGGTTGTAAATTGTTCCCATTCTATTTAGATGGATATATGGTTCTATGTTCGTTCGTGTGGGTTGCAGTAGCCACTTATAACTTTGGTGGACTGTAACTTTGTTTGTCACGTTAATTTTATAAAAACAAGTCATTAGGGCAAGCTAGTTGTTTATATTTTTGAGATGTAAGCCACTCGGTTCGATCCCCATCGGCAACAATGAAATTGTAAATTGCAATTTTAACCGATTCAGTGTGTATGGTACGCCAGGCGTGCCATCGTTTCTCGTGAATCGGTTCTCAAATTGCTTTTTTGGAAGATTTATCCAGAACAAAATATCCATTATTTTGCAAGTAGTTCATGCCCACAGCTTCATTTCTGGATATTTTGAGAATGTGAAATTTGTAGGGGTTGGCAACCTTTTTTTTTACTTGTATGTTGTGAAAAAATAACAAATAATAACACCACTCATTGCGATTGCTTACTAACTCAAGTTGTAAACAAGTTTCTGGAAAACAAGTATTTTCTGTTAAAAAGAAAACAATGCGTTTGTGAGAAACAAAAAATATTTCGAAGGTATGTCAAATCGAACCCGGGTTGCTCGCGTACTGTGACATTTACAGCAAGCGCTAACCATCTGAGCTACCACGGCTCTTATAGACCATGTCTATTCTGTCTAGTAAATATTACTTTTTATTGTTATTATAGATAAAGCGACCATATTTCCACGTGAAACCCTTGGAAAGATGCCAACTCAAGAACTGGAAATCATACCTCGAGTGGGAGAAACAGCATGGTACATTTAAACGGGCTCTTGTTTTGCACGAGAGATGCCTTATTGCCTGCGCTCTTTATGAAGAGTTCTGGATGAGGGTAAATTTATATTTTCTTCGTTCATAAGTGAAACATAAGAATTTTTTTACTAATTAAAACTTTTTGCGTAAGTAACACTCACAAATTCATGACAAATACACATTATTTACACATTTATATTAACAGTTAAATATTTTAAAGAACAATTTTATGAAGGCTTTATTTTTAAATTACTATTACAGCTTGTAAAATTCCTGGAGGAGCGTATTGAATCAGAACCGGAACTGATAGCAGTTGAACGTGAGGTGTTAGAGCGTGCCTGCACAGTACACCATCTGGATAAACCAGAGCTTCATTTACACTGGGCTCATTTTGAAGAGGAACATGGTAACCCGAGCAAGGCCGCAGAGATTCTCGATCGGATAGAGAAGACCTGCCCCAATCTTGTGCAGATACAGTACAGGTGAGATTAAATCAAAATTTATTTTACATAATATTTTCTGTTCTTTGTGTTGTTAGGTGGATCCAAATCAAATATGTATAAAAGTCACAATAAAAATTGATAAACATTATATTTAGTATATACCACAATAAGTTAAAAGTTAAAGTTACAGCCTATATATATACGTCCCACTGCTAGGCACAGCTACTCTCATTTCTGAGGGGGTTTTAGGCTAAGGAAATATATGCTGCGCTGACCCAATGCCTGTTGGCGAACTACACATGTCTTCGATATATTTTTATTTCTTATTTCTCAGACATGCAATTTCTGTGATATTTTCCTTAACCGCCGACTGAGCTAATAGTAAATCTGAAAATTGCAATTAACAATTTAATTGGTGCCGGTGGGATCAAACCCGCGTTGCTTGCGTACTGTGAAATTTCCAGCGAGCGCTTAGACCCTGAGCTATCACCATTCTTATCACTAACACTACATAGTTGTTGTCAATGCACGATTAATGTATGGAAATCTTTCCATACTAACGAGATATACAGGGTTATTTTTCTCTTTGAAAAATAACCCTGTATATCTCCTTAGTTCTCATATTTTCGTTCTCATATAGTACAGAGTTTCACACTACTACTCTCTCTTAAAAGGGGTTCACAACAACCCCACCCCTTTTCTTCTCCGCACATATTTTTAACAAATGTACAATTTTTTTTTTGTATATAAACATTATAACTGTATCGATTATACAGGGTTATTTTTCAAATAGTAGTTAAATTTTAAACTTAAGGTGGCACAAGTCGCGGGCTCGAACTCGCTGGTGGGCGCGGCCAAAAAGCACGCTGTCTCACCTGGCATCGTGCCCGACAGAGATAGTATCAGTGATGAGCATATCGACACTAGTATTCACGCATGTCTTGTTCGTACGGTGTTCCGAACCGTTAGAATAAAAACGAAGTTACACGAACACGATGCAACATCTATACTAATATAATAAAGCAGAAGAGGGTTTTTTTTTGTTTAAACGTGCTAATCTCTGGAACTACCAGTCCGATTTGAAAAATCTTTTTTGGATATTATAGCCAGATTCATGTTGAATAGTATAGGCTATACAGCATTAGGCTATATATCTCAGCTAGCCAGGAAGTCAGAAGAAAAAGCGCTGTTATGGTTCGGGATACGTAAATACAATGTTCTAGAAAAATATAGATCTTTACTCCGTCTAAAAAAAGTCCGCGATACCATATGTCTATTTCTTATATATAAGCCACAATTAGGCATTTTGTGACAAAAAAAATGAAAATTTAATTATTAGGCACCTTACGAACCAAAGTTACTTCGTTATCAAGACAATTTTATGAAGATAAACTTCGTTCTTTATACCATGTTTATATAGTACATAGTTTAAGAGATAATGTAAAATTAAAATAATTCAATACCTACTTGGCTTGACGCGCAAACAACGCATAACCCCTAGCCCGGTGCGAACTGAGAAGCCAGTATTGAAAGCTTCTATGAGCGAGGTTAGGTTAGCCGTTAGTTAGTCAATCGTTATCTATATATACACAAATAAATAAAATTGAAGTGTCTGTTTGTAATGTCAAAATAACAGCTTTTTACTAATTGCGTATAAACTGTATACGGTACTTATAACATTAACACAATTTTTAACATTTTTGTATGTCTGTCAGTCTGTTTGTTGCGGTTAATTTCCAAAACGGCTGGACCGACTTGGGCGGGACTTTCACTAGTAGATAGCTCATGTTATAAGAAGTAACTTAGCCTGCTTAAATTTTAGAAAAATTATTAGGTGTCTTTGCAACAATATTAACGCCCTAAACTAAACGCGGACGAAGTCGCGGGGTACAGCTAGTAGCTAAAATAAATTCAAAATTAATTGAGTACTTTTATCTATCTCCCGGGTGAGCGTAGCAATGATTAGTTACATCTTTATTTCTGAACTCTTTCATTTCACGTTGCTATGGTATTTTGAAAGTTTAAATTTAATTAATTAATAAGTATAAGAGGTTGATAGCAAATTTATCAAGAATCATTTCTTGCCTACACACTTTTCATGAATCGTGTACGTTTTTCTTTAAAACTGGAAAAAACCGCGCATAATATGCCGACAGATAAAATAAAAGTACTCCATTCAATCATGACAATTTTTCCATACATTACAATCAAATAAAATATTTGATTGCAATTATAAAATGCTTGAACTAGGTGTCATGTCATGCCACGCATCTCGGACACGTGATGACGCGGATGAATCCACGAAATTATTAGGTATACGTCTGTGGCTCTATATACCTAATATAGATTGCTTATTTTATTATGTTTAGTTTTCCCCGAGTGGTCATGCAGCAATCACTCAAGAGTTCGGCTTCGAACGTGTGTAACTCGATAATTATCCCACGGCAACGAAATATCTGAATAAACGGTATCATATATGATATTTGGCAGCTCCGTGGCGCAGTGGCTTAGCAATGAATTGTTGTACTGGGAGCCGCGGGTTCGAATCAATCGAACAAGTATTTGTATGGTCTACAAATAATTGTTCCGGGTCTGGATGTTTGTAAACTGCCTCCACGATACAGGAGAAAATCCTAGTGTGGGGTAACGTTTTTTTGAAAAAAAAATTCCGGACTATAGCCTATCTCTGAGCAAAATATCATCCAGATCCCTTCAGCCGTTCTGGCGTGATTGAGTAACATACATCCATTCATCCGTCCATCCAAATATCCAAACTTTCGCATTTATAATATTTAGATAATAATCGTAATTGGTCTGCCTACCTATAAATTGTTTTCAAAAATACTTACTTACCTGGCTTCTTATTTTTTCATATATACTCAATATCACTAAACGTAAACACAGGTTTTTATCAAGACAGGTGACCCATCAAGATTGTTTTCTTAGTACAGACGTACCTACCTAAAGTTTACAATTTTGTGGCCACGACGCGGCGAGGTTTTGTGACATTTTGTTGTATTGTTGATTGTAGGTATCTAGGTAATAACAGTAGGTACCTATGAAAATCGCACATAATATACTTTGTTTATCCGCCGCAAAAGTCGTCTAATAAATAATTAAACTGTTTTGTAATTCTTTATTTATTTATAACACTTGCATTGAGAGCCGTGGTAGCTCAGATGGTTAGCGCTCGCTGTCAGTATCACATTACGCGAGCAACCCGGGTTCGATCCCCGCCGCCACCAATGAAATTGTTGCAATTTTATATAATAATCGAATATAGACTTTACTTTTTTTACTTTTATAATTATATTATATTACAGACGAAAATTTTAAAATATTGTCTGTCGTCCAAAACGCATCATCTCTTTCAATTATATCAATTTCCATGCCGTCTTTTGTCTTTGGCGTCCAAATTACAAAATAGCAAAACTTTTCGTTTCGAATAAAACTCGAATACTTATAAGCGCGCGTCACCGCCTGTGCATGTGTGTGTAAGCATCGTCCTCCCGCACCGCACCGGGGGAGACATTATTCAGTGAGATGCACGATAATTCATAGTAACATGCGCGCGTAAAAAAATACGAAAAGGCCTTTAGAAGAAGGGGTTTTATGAAAAAACCACTGCATTAATCAATTACAAATAAAATTTATTGAGTTCTTCGATAATTTACCTGTGTCGGTACCGACTTTGTTTTGGAAATTTTACACTTCTTTTATTACTAATTTACGCCCAAAGTTGTGTTAAAATTGGCAATAAAAACGAATCTTTGGTAGCTCGTAACTTTTTAATAACATTTTATTTTACTATTCTGTTTCCGTACAGACAAATTTAATAATGAGACAAAACGATATCATGTTTAATTTTGGATGTACACTGTCAAACAGCGGAGTAAAACCCCTCCGAAATTTCTATGGAAATAATGTCGACTAGTGTCACCTTAAGTTCAAATATATAAATAATGATATACCGTTACTGCAGTTTTTAAAAATAAGTGTAAATAAGGCTTCTACTTTTATTTGAAATTACCCCAATTTTATGTTATTTATGGGCAATAACTACGCGTACGCTCGCTCCTCTATGCGCGCAATTTAAATCACAATGTTTTCACGCCCGATTGACCTTTACGAATGTGTGCGTGCGTAGTAAAGTATAAGTAGCGGCACGAAAGTCTAGCGGTGACCGTTATTGCGCATAAGTCGAAAATAAGGTGCCATAGGGTAGTAAACGGATTGCGGGGTGGGTGTGCGTCGTTCGCACGCGCTGATTGTCTCTACAATCGCATTCGTGCAATTCAATTCGTGCGCGACAGTACCCATGCGCAACGATCCCCTTCATGTTTCGTTCAGCGCTAGACTTACGTGCCACCACTTATACTAGGCGTTAGATATTTATGAATGTCTAACAGTTATATAATAATGCGATTTTGAATTCAAAAGATAAAAAGGACAGAATGCTTGAGATTTTTTAATGAATTTTTCTTCACCATTTGTCTATATTGCTTATTCTGAACTTTCTCTGCACATTTAGTCAGTTATTGCAAAATAACCCTGTACATGTAGATATTAGATAATTTTATTTGCTGCCAAACAAAATTACAAAACAAAATAATATCGTTCATTATATTATCAATTTATGTATCTTATGGTATTTGGCATTTGTTAAATTATACCGCTATAAAAGTCTAGTATTTTATTAGATTTTTTATAAGTGTCAGTTTCGTTTCGTTGAACAAAATTCCTTTGAGTAATAAACTCGATAAACATTGAAGTAAGTCTTATAACAATTTCTCTTTTTGACTGCATTCCCATAAATATATCATAGTTACATCGCCACTATGTTTAGAAGTTGTCAGTGTTATTTGTCACTAGTTGTAGTCAGTAGAGAGAACTTATTTTTAAAGTTGCAGTTTTATAATTATATTAGTAGTAGTAGTAGTATCTTACTATACCTTTTTGAGTCACTTGAACGTCATGTTATAGCATTGTTTATGTGTCTTTGTAATTGCATTTTCAAATTTATTTACATATTCTTAGACGGGTAAATCTGGAGCGCAGACGTGGCGACTATGACAAATGCTGCCAATTATATGAAAGCTACATAGCGTCAGCAAAGAATAAGCAGATCGCTTCTGCTTTAGCAGTGAAATACGTACGATTCCTGTTTCACATTAAGCGCGACGCGTCAGCAGCGAAGAAGGCCATCGACGATGCCATCGCCAAAGACCCGCTCAATGTTAGACTGCATATGCAAAGGCTTGACATCGCTTTGCATACACCCGGCACACCATACGAAGTTTTAGAAGGTAATTTTTATATACAAACATACATGATATGTCTATACTAATATAATAAAGCGGAAGAGTTTTTTTTTGTTTGTTTTATCAGGCTAATCTCTGGAACTACCAGTCTGATTTGAAAAATTCTTTTTATTTATATACATATAGCCAGATTCACGAGGAATAGTATAGGCATTAGGCCACACCTCGCAGCTAGCCTTAAATATTGATTCTTATAAAGCAAGTCAGAAGAAAAAGTGCTTCCGAAATGATTTATTCGCGTGCGCTTACGTAATGGTTAGTGATACGTTCTACAAAAATATAGATCTTTACTTCATTTAAAAATAATTCCACGATACCATATGCCTATTTCTTATACATAAGCCACAATAAGTGATTAATGAGCGTTATTATTAGGCATGGCATATATAATTTTATGAAGATAATCTTTGTTTTTTATAGCTTGTTATTTGGGCGTATAGTTTAAGAGATTAAAATAATTCAACACTTGAATTAGCGCGCGAACGACGCATAAACCCGAGCCGCTCGGTGGAAACCGAGAGAAACGAACAGTGAACGCTTCTATGTGCGAGGTTAGTTCAATCATTTTAGGTAAAAAAAATTCGCAAAATTAATAAAGTACTTTTATCTATCAGTATATGTACGTTATAGAGCGAAGTTAAATTTTATCCACTCCCCTCCCCCTTCTGGGGTAAACCCCCCCCCCCCCAAACTCCCGAATCGCGGTTTTTTCCAGGTTTAAAGAAAACAGTACACGCTACATGAAAAGTATGTAGGTACGACATGATACTTGATAAATAAAGGAGGGAGGCGGCGTGACGCTTACCTGGGAAGGGAAGGGACTGTGGATAAAATTTAACTTCGCTCTATGGGGTATATGCCGATAGATAAAAGTATTCCATTAATTTTATAAATTTTTCCATGCATTATTACTATCTAAAATGGTTAAACTAGGTGTCTATAATATGTCGCGCGGCTCAGACACGTGATATACGCGAGTGAAACAACTGGGCATAGCTAGTTTATTATATAATCTTTGGTTTGGGTTAGCAGCAGATTTTTATTGGTTGTTAAAGTAGCAAAAAAAAGAAGATGTGTTCATGAATGCGTGTCAAGTTGAGCACGGTGCCACTTGAAATGTACGCAACGTTTCATCTACGAGTATCTTTGTTGGTCTGATTTTATGGCACTATGTTTAAATTGCAATGATAGTGATGCGGTGTATTGTGTGTGTGCAGACCTGGCGATGTCGTACGAGCGCACGGAGGGCGCGGAGGCGGAGGTGAGCGCGACGATGGCGTGGCGGCGGCGCGAGCTGGCCGAGGAGCTGGGCCCGGCCGCCGCCGCGCGCGCCGCCACGCGACACGCGCGCGCGCTCGCCAAGCACCTGCGCAAGCGCGCGCGCAAGGACAAGCACGAGCCGCCGCCGCCGCCCGCGTGAGTACACCTGCACCTGCACCTGCACCTGCGCAAGCGCGCGCGCAAGGACAAGCACGAGCCGCCGCCGCCGCCCGCGTGAGTACACCTGCACCTGCACCTGCACCTGCGCAAGCGCGCGCGCAAGGACAAGCACGAGCCGCCGCCGCCGCCCGCGTGAGTACACCTGCACCTGCACCTGCACCTGCGCAAGCGCGCGCGCAAGGACAAGCACGAGCCGCCGCCGCCGCCCGCGTGAGTACACCTGCACCTGCACCTGCACCTGCGCAAGCGCGCGCGCAAGGACAAGCACGAGCCGCCGCCGCCGCCCGCGTGAGTACACCTGCACCTGCACCTGCACCTGCGCAAGCGCGCGCGCAAGGACAAGCACGAGCCGCCGCCGCCGCCCGCGTGAGTACACCTGCACCTGCACCTGCACCTGCGCAAGCGCGCGCGCAAGGACAAGCACGAGCCGCCGCCGCCGCCCGCGTGAGTACACCTGCACCTGCACCTGCACCTGCACCTGCGCAAGCGCGCGCGCAAGGACAAGCACGAGCCGCCGCCGCCGCCCGCGTGAGTACACCTGCACCTGCACCTGCACCTGCGCAAGCGCGCGCGCAAGGACAAGCACGAGCCGCCGCCGCCGCCCGCGTGAGTACACCTGCACCTGCACCTGCACCTGCACCTGCGCAAGCGCGCGCGCAAGGACAAGCACGAGCCGCCGCCGCCGCCCGCGTGAGTACACCTGCACCTGCACCTGCACCTGCGCAAGCGCGCGCGCAAGGACAAGCACGAGCCGCCGCCGCCGCCCGCGTGAGTACACCTGCACCTGCACCTGCACCTGCGCAAGCGCGCGCGCAAGGACAAGCACGAGCCGCCGCCGCCGCCCGCGTGAGTACACCTGCACCTGCACCTGCACCTGCACCTGCGCAAGCGCGCGCGCAAGGACAAGCACGAGCCGCCGCCGCCGCCCGCGTGAGTACACCTGCACCTGCACCTGCACCTGCGCAAGCGCGCGCGCAAGGACAAGCACGAGCCGCCGCCGCCGCCCGCGTGAGTACACCTGCACCTGCACCTGCACCTGCGCAAGCGCGCGCGCAAGGACAAGCACGAGCCGCCGCCGCCGCCCGCGTGAGTACACCTGCACCTGCACCTGCACCTGCGCAAGCGCGCGCGCAAGGACAAGCACGAGCCGCCGCCGCCGCCCGCGTGAGTACACCTGCACCTGCACCTGCACCTGCGCAAGCGCGCGCGCAAGGACAAGCACGAGCCGCCGCCGCCGCCCGCGTGAGTACACCTGCACCTGCACCTGCACCTGCGCAAGCGCGCGCGCAAGGACAAGCACGAGCCGCCGCCGCCGCCCGCGTGAGTACACCTGCACCTGCACCTGCACCTGCGCAAGCGCGCGCGCAAGGACAAGCACGAGCCGCCGCCGCCGCCCGCGTGAGTACACCTGCACCTGCACCTGCACCTGCACCTGCGCAAGCGCGCGCGCAAGGACAAGCACGAGCCGCCGCCGCCGCCCGCGTGAGTACACCTGCACCTGCACCTGCACCTGCGCAAGCGCGCGCGCAAGGACAAGCACGAGCCGCCGCCGCCGCCCGCGTGAGTACACCTGCACCTGCACCTGCACCTGCGCAAGCGCGCGCGCAAGGACAAGCACGAGCCGCCGCCGCCGCCCGCGTGAGTACACCTGCACCTGCACCTGCGCAAGCGCGCGCGCAAGGACAAGCACGAGCCGCCGCCGCCGCCCGCGTGAGTACACCTGCACCTGCACCTGCACCTGCGCAAGCGCGCGCGCAAGGACAAGCACGAGCCGCCGCCGCCGCCCGCGTGAGTACACCTGCACCTGCACCTGCACCTGCGCAAGCGCGCGCGCAAGGACAAGCACGAGCCGCCGCCGCCGCCCGCGTGAGTACACCTGCACCTGCACCTGCACCTGCGCAAGCGCGCGCGCAAGGACAAGCACGAGCCGCCGCCGCCGCCCGCGTGAGTACACCTGCACCTGCACCTGCACCTGCACCTGCGCAAGCGCGCGCGCAAGGACAAGCACGAGCCGCCGCCGCCGCCCGCGTGAGTACACCTGCACCTGCACCTGCGCAAGCGCGCGCGCAAGGACAAGCACGAGCCGCCGCCGCCGCCCGCGTGAGTACACCTGCACCTGCACCTGCGCAAGCGCGCGCGCAAGGACAAGCACGAGCCGCCGCCGCCGCCCGCGTGAGTACACCTGCACCTGCACCTGCACCTGCACCTGCGCAAGCGCGCGCGCAAGGACAAGCACGAGCCGCCGCCGCCGCCCGCGTGAGTACACCTGCACCTGCACCTGCACCTGCACCTGCGCAAGCGCGCGCGCAAGGACAAGCACGAGCCGCCGCCGCCGCCCGCGTGAGTACACCTGCACCTGCACCTGCGCAAGCGCGCGCGCAAGGACAAGCACGAGCCGCCGCCGCCGCCCGCGTGAGTACACCTGCACCTGCACCTGCGCAAGCGCGCGCGCAAGGACAAGCACGAGCCGCCGCCGCCGCCCGCGTGAGTACACCTGCACCTGCACCTGCACCTGCACCTGCACCTGCGCAAGCGCGCGCGCAAGGACAAGCACGAGCCGCCGCCGCCGCCCGCGTGAGTACACCTGCACCTGCACCTGCACCTGCGCAAGCGCGCGCGCAAGGACAAGCACGAGCCGCCGCCGCCGCCCGCGTGAGTACACCTGCACCTGCACCTGCGCAAGCGCGCGCGCAAGGACAAGCACGAGCCGCCGCCGCCGCCCGCGTGAGTACACCTGCACCTGCACCTGCACCTGCACCTGCGCAAGCGCGCGCGCAAGGACAAGCACGAGCCGCCGCCGCCGCCCGCGTGAGTACACCTGCACCTGCACCTGCACCTGCGCAAGCGCGCGCGCAAGGACAAGCACGAGCCGCCGCCGCCGCCCGCGTGAGTACACCTGCACCTGCACCTGCACCTGCACCTGCGCAAGCGCGCGCGCAAGGACAAGCACGAGCCGCCGCCGCCGCCCGCGTGAGTACACCTGCACCTGCACCTGCACCTGCGCAAGCGCGCGCGCAAGGACAAGCACGAGCCGCCGCCGCCGCCCGCGTGAGTACACCTGCACCTGCACCTGCGCAAGCGCGCGCGCAAGGACAAGCACGAGCCGCCGCCGCCGCCCGCGTGAGTACACCTGCACCTGCACCTGCGCAAGCGCGCGCGCAAGGACAAGCACGAGCCGCCGCCGCCGCCCGCGTGAGTACACCTGCACCTGCACCTGCACCTGCGCAAGCGCGCGCGCAAGGACAAGCACGAGCCGCCGCCGCCGCCCGCGTGAGTACACCTGCACCTGCACCTGCACCTGCGCAAGCGCGCGCGCAAGGACAAGCACGAGCCGCCGCCGCCGCCCGCGTGAGTACACCTGCACCTGCACCTGCACCTGCGCAAGCGCGCGCGCAAGGACAAGCACGAGCCGCCGCCGCCGCCCGCGTGAGTACACCTGCACCTGCACCTGCGCAAGCGCGCGCGCAAGGACAAGCACGAGCCGCCGCCGCCGCCCGCGTGAGTACACCTGCACCTGCACCTGCACCTGCACCTGCGCAAGCGCGCGCGCAAGGACAAGCACGAGCCGCCGCCGCCGCCCGCGTGAGTACACCTGCACCTGCACCTGCACCTGCGCAAGCGCGCGCGCAAGGACAAGCACGAGCCGCCGCCGCCGCCCGCGTGAGTACACCTGCACCTGCACCTGCACCTGCACCTGCGCAAGCGCGCGCGCAAGGACAAGCACGAGCCGCCGCCGCCGCCCGCGTGAGTACACCTGCACCTGCACCTGCACCTGCGCAAGCGCGCGCGCAAGGACAAGCACGAGCCGCCGCCGCCGCCCGCGTGAGTACACCTGCACCTGCACCTGCGCAAGCGCGCGCGCAAGGACAAGCACGAGCCGCCGCCGCCGCCCGCGTGAGTACACCTGCACCTGCACCTGCACCTGCGCAAGCGCGCGCGCAAGGACAAGCACGAGCCGCCGCCGCCGCCCGCGTGAGTACACCTGCACCTGCACCTGCACCTGCGCAAGCGCGCGCGCAAGGACAAGCACGAGCCGCCGCCGCCGCCCGCGTGAGTACACCTGCACCTGCACCTGCGCAAGCGCGCGCGCAAGGACAAGCACGAGCCGCCGCCGCCGCCCGCGTGAGTACACCTGCACCTGCACCTGCGCAAGCGCGCGCGCAAGGACAAGCACGAGCCGCCGCCGCCGCCCGCGTGAGTACACCTGCACCTGCACCTGCACCTGCGCAAGCGCGCGCGCAAGGACAAGCACGAGCCGCCGCCGCCGCCCGCGTGAGTACACCTGCACCTGCACCTGCACCTGCGCAAGCGCGCGCGCAAGGACAAGCACGAGCCGCCGCCGCCGCCCGCGTGAGTACACCTGCACCTGCACCTGCGCAAGCGCGCGCGCAAGGACAAGCACGAGCCGCCGCCGCCGCCCGCGTGAGTACACCTGCACCTGCACCTGCACCTGCGCAAGCGCGCGCGCAAGGACAAGCACGAGCCGCCGCCGCCGCCCGCGTGAGTACACCTGCACCTGCACCTGCGCAAGCGCGCGCGCAAGGACAAGCACGAGCCGCCGCCGCCGCCCGCGTGAGTACACCTGCACCTGCACCTGCACCTGCGCAAGCGCGCGCGCAAGGACAAGCACGAGCCGCCGCCGCCGCCCGCGTGAGTACACCTGCACCTGCACCTGCGCAAGCGCGCGCGCAAGGACAAGCACGAGCCGCCGCCGCCGCCCGCGTGAGTACACCTGCACCTGCACCTGCACCTGCACCTGCGCAAGCGCGCGCGCAAGGACAAGCACGAGCCGCCGCCGCCGCCCGCGTGAGTACACCTGCACCTGCACCTGCACCTGCGCAAGCGCGCGCGCAAGGACAAGCACGAGCCGCCGCCGCCGCCCGCGTGAGTACACCTGCACCTGCACCTGCACCTGCACCTGCGCAAGCGCGCGCGCAAGGACAAGCACGAGCCGCCGCCGCCGCCCGCGTGAGTAC